CCCTCCCTCCCTCCCTCGTCACTCTCTCCCCCTCCCTCCCTTGTCACTCTTTGTCCCCCTCCCTCCCTCCCTTGTCACTCTTTCTCCCCCTCCCTCCCCCCTACCTCAGTTGTAGCGTGGCCGAGCCCAGTATAGTATATAGGGGTACAGGGAGCTTTTGTTTCCTGTACACGGCTGGACTAACAGGAAGTGAACACTCAGTGTGCACTTCCTGTTAGTCCGGCTGGGTACAGGAGACAGATGCTCCCTGTACCCGTGGACTATACAGGGCTCGGCCACGTTACAGGGAGGGAGTGACAGGAGGGAGCGCTGGGCGCTTCCCTCCTGTCAGCCCTTCTCCCCATGCTGCGCCCGGGCGATGCGGTCCGCCCTCATGGACGCACCACCCGGGCAAAGCTGCAGCATGGGTGGGGGGCGGAGGGGCGGATTTCCCCATAACCTGTCCCCCCCGCATGATTTGCTAAGGGGGATGTGTACCCCCATCCCCTCCCCATTTCCTACGCCCATGGTCTTAATGTTAGTTTGCAAGCCATGTGGCTGCTGGTCAAGGTTGCCCCTTGTGTAAGTGTATGGGTCAAAAAGCAACACCATGCTTTTATGCTGCTGGGTTGGGACAAAAATACAGAAGCTATAGGCCACAAATACCACTGGGTAAGACAATGTGTATGGAGTTTATAAAGGAACAAAAGAAAGAAAATAAATAAATAATAAAAAAACCCTAAGAAACAGTAGTACAATTGTGTTACCATAGCTTTAACTGGTTGAACTGGACCTCTAGCTGTCTGAGCTCAAGTTGTATTATGGGAGCTGTAAATCAGGAATAAATATTATTTAGTGCAGTATTACCTGATGGTCACTGTGAGCTGTATCTCTGGTACCTGCTATGTACCTTTAGTGTTAAGGTGTGTCGCTGGGCATTTTGCATCTTAGTAGCTACTAGATCTTGTGCCGGAGATCCTACTGGAAAGATCTGATTGGGTTCTGTGGTGTTCTTTGGGGCTGTGAAGACACTGGATGGTGAGGAGTGGGCCCTGTGGCGTGTAGTAGTTTTGAGTAGCTGCCCTGTAAATAGTGTGTTGCTTTAGTGTTAGGATTGTTGGAAGCCTATACGTGCCTGAGTGGGCATCTAGCAGTGCGTGAGTGAGGCGGTGTGTGATTGTTGCCTGCAGTGGATTTGGGAGATAGTGAGGCTCTTGCTTGGTGTTCCCCTAACCATGGGGGATGCGGGGAGGGGGGGGTGAGTTTCAGGCTCCTTTACTGGCGGGGTTGGGGGTTGTAACTCCCCTCCTGTGTTTCCTATACTGCGTATGCAGTATAACCATGCGAACCGCCAGCCTCCCGAACGGTACCTGTACGGCTCCTTCCCTTCACGAGCTCCAACTACACGAACTGCCAATAGCAGCCAAACGGCAATAGTTTCCAAGCTGCAAATAATCCCAATAAGCAGTCTCTAGTCGCCGGTAATAAAATCCCACAATAACGAGACCAAGCTGAGTTTACTGTGGGCTACCTGCCCGTATTTATGCAGGTCTCCCACTTGGTGGATACTCCCCTAGGGGACCAAATGGGAGACTGGAATAACAGAAGGACATGGGGACATTTCAGACATACATCCCCACAATATTCCCAGCATGCACCACAGTTTCCTCCCCTCTGCTCGGGAGATAATTGAGAAGTAATTCAATTATCTCCCAGAGCAGAGGCAAATCGCCATTTTAAATCAAAGTTACAAAACACATTAAAATACATAACTTTATAACTGCCGAACGTATTGCATTCGTATAACACATCCCCAGATAGCCTGGATCTGAGTGCATATTATTGGCGAATAGCACTCAGATCCCATACGCATAGTTCAATCGCCATGGAGTCAAAGTCTATTACAGTTCTTCGGTATGCGATTGACTCCATGGGAGTCGGCCGATATTCGTATACTTTTGTCGATTGAGAAGGGGAGGTCAACGGCTTCAGCGGTGTTCGGTTGAAAAAGTGTCCGTTTTTAGTTCCATGGAACACCGCTGGGCTTTCGCATAGTTAAAATGGCCGCCGCCTCGTGGTCGACATACGAACGACGACCACCCTGTATTCGGTTTTAATTGAGAAGTGTCTGTGGTTAACAGCAACGTTCTAATTGGGATCAATAGGTTAACCAGCAGCACCCTTCTCTTCTGGGTGGCCGTCCGTTCGGTAGTTCCGTTCGACAAACAAATACATTCCCTTAAACAAGGCATACGAATGGGGAAATTCATACAAACAGCAAAACAGACGAACACAGCAATTCTAGTTCATACAGATGGGTCTGTCACAATTACTATCCTAAAAATGTACCATGGTATTCGCTGTGTTTTTTTTTTCTCTTTGCTTCTTCCCCCCCAATTATTATAACTGTTTATATTTGGGCTCTTAACTTCGATAGAAATAGGATGGGTTGGTTGCTAAATACTCTGGGTACCTCGCAAGAACTTGTTGTTATATTGTACCTTATTTTAGGTGATATATTTACTTATGTGCTGTTCTCAGAAAAAAAAAATATGATACATTAGATTATGAAAAGCAATCAGTTGTTAGGCTAACTACAGAATTGGATTAGTAATTGTAATCAGTCCAAATCAATATTCCTTCCTAAGCAACTTGTCTCACATAGAGCAAATAAATAAAATATCAGTAAAACTAAAATGTTTGTCTTTAAACTGGATCCTAAGTTTCACTTTTTCTTTTAAATACTTATAGATCAATTTATCTTGGATTCCTAAAAGTAAATCTCAATTTAACCAAGATATTTAATCTCTGCTAACATACCAAAGTGAGACATGTTCATTAAATCTATCAAAGGGTAGATTATCTTCCCATTGGAGTGAGTCAGACTCAATATGTCCATGTTGATGGCGAAACCCATGCGGGTTTCTCTCATGTCCAGTTGAGGGAGAGAACCAATTGTCCATGCGGAGCAGCTCTCTGAGGAGATGAGTGCCCTCCGTCTCGAAGTGTCAACAGGCGACATATGCACTTGGAGCATGTAGCGTGGGGATGGGGCGGGAGTCCACTCCACCCTTCGCCCAGCAGGGCAGCTTCGAAATGAGTCGGAATGGACGCCTCTTTTGGTCATGCGTATCGCTCATGGAACGGGCCAAGGTTCCGCAAACCTTGATCCTGAGTCCGGGCACGGTCCGAGAGACCTCTGGGGCTAGTTAAGGGGGAACCCTATGAAGAGACGTGTCAGCTCAATTTGTACGTAAGGGTAACTCCGAAGAGCAGACCCAGCACTTGGATGCCAAATCCGTCAGTTTGATGTCCAGCTGGGACAGGGGCCGTTTTGCTGTTCTCAGGGGTAGAAACCAACTAGGCGATACCTATAAGTCATATCGGTCCATTCCCAATGGGAATTTAGTCTTCTCCACTTTCCAAGCTGTAACACGCCGTTCGTCCCGAGGAAACATCTGTGTCCGCGTGTCATCGTCATCCAGTGGTTATTCCCGGATAGAGTGCAAACCCTGTGTCCGGTGTTTGCGGTGTCCTTTCCGGACTCCGTCATAAAGATTGATCCTCTTGATGAATCCATCCGTTAGCCAATGAGTACCAGGGGTGCTTGATGTAGCATCTAGGATGGCCGGTGGAGTGTCCCCTGTAGGGTACTGATGGTTTCTGGCAGTGAGGTCAGTGGGGCAGCACGAGGACAGGCCAAGTGACCTTCTGGGTACGGGAGATTTGTCCTTCAGTCGTGATTGCATAACTGCCATAGAGGTAACACTGTCGGAGTGATACCTGGTGCGGCCAGCTGGGGGTCACCCAGCGTGCAAGAGGGGGTCACCCAACAAGCACAAGCATACCATGCAGTATAGGCCAGCAGGGGAGGGGGTCACCCTCAGTCTGAACATAATCGGACACTGTAGGTACAGTAGTGCCGTAGTTGTTAGCCGTATAATAAAGTAACCAGGCATTACCGGTCCAGCAGTGCAGACGGCAGGAGGGGGTCACCCTCATAACCATAACCGGGCATTGCAGATCCAGCAGTGCTGTAGGTAAGAGAGGGTCACCCTCCGTGTGGTATCATAGAGGTCTGTACACTCAGTAGTGTAGTCAGCGAGAGGGGGTCACCCTCATTATGGTTATAACGGGACCCTGTAGGTCCAGTAGAGTAGTCCGCAGGAGGGGGTCACCCTCAGTATCTGCGTATAGCAGGGCACTGTAAGAACAGAAGCTCAATCAGTGGGAGGGGTACCCTCTTTTATGGGAATACCTGGACGCTGCAGGTCCAGCAGTGCAGACTGTAGGAGGGGTTCCCCCTCGGTATGAGAATAACAGGACATTGCCGGAGCATTAGTGTAGGAAGCAGGAGGGGGTCACCCTCAGCATTAATCCTACAGGGCGCCGTAGAGCCAGCCTGGTGCTCATTGGTAGCCATGTTGCCAGAGGGAGGGGGTTGCCCAGCCCACAATGGTGTCACACGTCCATTATTATGGTGCAGTAGCAGGTAGAGCCCCAGAAATATGGATGGGGGGGGTGGGGGAGGCTCACCCCCCTGTAATAACAGGGCTGTATGTGGGGCCAGTCATGTGAGACAGGCACAGTAAGTACGGAGATAGCTGAAAAACTAGGCTATCTCCCCTGATATAGGGAGAGGGGAAGGTGGCCACATGGCCAGCAGGGCAGTTCGGTGGGTGAGACCGGGCTGTTCGCAATGCACGGAGCCCATGCGGCTCTGAAAAAAAAAAAATGGCCGCCACGGCTGCAAAAACCGAGCACGGCCTACCGCGTGGTGATTGCGCGGCACTGCCACGGTTGAAAAAGCTTCTCAGCAAGCAGCCAGGGGCCGCGGGGAGCAGGTGGGGAATAAGGGAGAAAGGGTATGGGCGACAGAGCCCAGCAGGGGAACCCAGGGAGGGGAAACAGATTACAGGCAGAGCCAAAGCATCATAGCAGGGACACCCATTCCCCATACAGCAGAGTGAGAAAAACTACATAAAGTAACCCAGAATAACAATAAATCAATGAGCAGTATACAAAATCTATCAGATAAATAGCCTAAATACAGCAACAGATGTTAACAAGTGATACAGCAGCTAGATAGCATGAAGTGGTATAGGAAATAACACAGAATAGACTGCCTAGCTAAACCCAGCAATAGACTGCCTAGATAAACCCAGCAATCGACTGCCTAGATAAACCCAGCAATCGACTGCCTAGATAAACCCAGCAAGAACCCTGCCTAAATAAATCCAGCAATTAAGCTGCCTAAACAAACCTAGCAAATAGACTGATTAAATAGACTGTTTAAATAAACAAGCAGCATGTAGGATAAAAAAACAACCAAGTGCAGAGACAACTCTGAGTTGGTGAGTGCTCACTTGGAGGCAGCAGCAAAGAAAGAGGGAGTGGAAGAGCCTGTTTAGGGGTTTTATACTACTGTTGCTTTGTTCTGATTGGTTGTTTTGAAAAGTTCTGTTAACTGTTTCTTTGTTGCTGGAGGTTTCAGTAAAGAAGGTAAAGCAAATATGAAGCCTCCTGTCCTGCCATAAAATCAGAGATAAGTTCAAAGAAGCATTTGATCCTTTGCCAACAAACCCCAAACTGCTATGATTCACTTGCTATCAGTTATTTAGTAACCAAATCAGTCATCGTGTATTTTAAGCTAGATACTCAGCTAGCCTTCGCTTTTGCAACATTGTAATATATGTAAGTAGCAATGAAACAGTTTAACATTCCACAGTCTGTTTATACTAGTTGATTGATGTCCATTTAATTATCTGCCTCAGTGGATAAGGAGCTGGAACAATATTTTGGAGCAGTCCTTAGTGATTCTCTTGAGGATTACTTCTAAGTTTTGTTGCTCTGCTTCATTCAGTGAAAAGATGGAAATTTCCTTTGGTCGATCTGCTTAATAAGGAGCTGGAATTAATATTTGGAGCAGTTCTTAGTATTTATCTTGATGATTACTTCTAAGTTTTGTTGCTCTGCTTCATTCAATGAAAGGATGGAAATTTCATTTGGTCGATCTGCTTGATCATGAGCAGTATATTCTGTTCGCTTGAGCATGGAATTGACTCAGCAATATACAGCAATATACTATGTTGATAGGTGCAGTTCCTTTTCCTTCTATGTGGTAGTAAAGGTGAGGTGTAGAGGTTTGATGATTATTTGGTTTTAAGTGTATTTTTCAGCCTTTAAAATATTATGCTGTGCTCTTGCCTTACGGTTTGCCAAGGCTACAATGGACCCAGCAGGGGAGCTCTCGCTGGTACGCTTGCTTCTGCTCACCTGCCACGTGGGCTTGCGCTGTTACAGTCCATAATGAATGCGGCAGCGAGGCTCATCTTCCTGTCCGCCCGCACCTCCCATGCCTCACCCTTCTCTCAGTCCCTAAATTGGCTTCCTATAAAATATAGAGCTCAATTTAAAATTCTGGGTCTTGCTTTCAAATTTCTACATAATGCTGCTTCCACCTATCTATCCTCCCTTATACACAATTATGTCCTGTCTAAGCCCTTACGATCAGCTGAAGACTTACGTCTATCTTCTGTCCATACTCCCACCTCTGATGCTTGCCTTCAAGATTTCTTGAGGGCTGCACCGTTCCTGTGGAACTCGCTTCCCTCCTCCATTAGATGCTCACCCAGTCTCCACTCCTTCAAAATCCCACTTCTTCATCAAAGCATATCAAATAAACTGTTAATAGCTCCTGACTGAGTCCTTTTCTGCAACTGTCACTAGTCTAATACTGTTACAAGAACCCTACTACTGTTAGAAGAACCTTACAAACTGTTACAGAAGTACTCCCTTTTGTTCACCCAATACCCTGTTCGGTATTCAGACTGTGCAAACCCATTCCACGAACAGTTATAACTATTCATTCTTGTATATGAACGACGGACCAACCGGCATGTGCCGCCACTTAACCCCAGTCACCTTTGAAAGTACTGAACAACCAACCACCCCACGAGCGTGCCTCTAATTGACCGCTGGGAAGCTGCGGTCTGCGGTTAACCACAAGCCTAATTGACTTTCTCAGGGTGGCCTCATTCGTGTAATAATTCACCGAACTGAACTCATGGCGTGTGGTCCCAATTAGAATGTTGAAGCTGCGGTTAACCGCAAGTTAAGTACCCCCTTTCATGGCAGTCTCACGTTCACAAAGGGCTAAGACAACCATCCTATGAGCGGTGTTCGCGTAATTGTTCAGCCGCTACTCGTTCCAGGGGTTTTAGGTCCAGGTCCCGCTCTCCATCTACCAACCTGAAAACATGGCCGCCATCTCGTGTTCGGGACAAAAGACACGAAGGGACATTATATTGAGGAGACTAGCCATATCGTTCGTGAGTTCTGAGCGCTATTCGTCTATCTGCTGCGCTCAGAACTGGGCTAAATAATGAACGGTGGAATGGGAGATATGTCTATTAAAGTATTAAAGTTATGTAATTTTATACTGTTTTATATGTTGTAATAAAACGTGGGATTTTGGGCGCTTGGAGATAATTACATTGTCATAACCGTTGGACTCATTATCTCCAAGCTGGGCGGTAACAATTTCAAAGGATACATTGTGTTACTATTGGTCAACTGTTTATATTGTCCCTGTATCCCATCAGGTCCAGAGGGGGCTGTCCCTGGACCTGGGGTTTTGCATAAATAGCGATGCCCGTGTGCTCGGTTCGTTTTACCCTCAACTCGCAGCCTCGACTCGTGTTGTAGGGAACCGTGAATCCTAGCTCTGCTATAGCTAGTGGGATGTTCTACACTTACAGGTTTTTGCCGATTGAAGCAGCGTTCGACTCTTCAAGTTCGGGAACCAGAACATCTAAGCGGTCCAACTTCCCGCAAGACCGGACGCAACCGTAATAACAAAATACTATCCTTACCTTTTTGTGTCATTTTACCCCACTCACTCTAGCATATAAACTCATTGAGCAGGGCCCTCTACCCCTCTGTTCCTGTGTGTCCAACTTGTCTGGTTACAACTACATGTCTGTTCGTCCACCCATTGTAAAGCGCTGCAGAATTTGATGGCGCTATATAAATATCATAATAATAATGTGTGTGTCAATATGTCTGTCAGTGTATGTGTCAGCATGTCAGTATGCCTGTGTGTGTGTCAATATGTCTGTCAGTATATGTGTGTGTTTGTCAGCATGTCTGTTAGTGTATGTGTCTCTGTATGTCCATATGTATGTCAGTGTGTGCATGTCTGTATCAGTATGGCTCTTTGTGTCAGTATGTCGGTATGTGTTGGTGAATGTGTCAGCATGTCTGTCAGTGTGTCAGTGTGTCTGTGTGTCTCTCAGTATATATTTGTCTGTCTATGTGTCAGTATGTCTGTCTGTAACAGATCACCTGGCACCCCGACTGGGTACCTCCGTTGAAGGATGCTCCTAGCGCTTCCTGAGGGCTACGCAGACACCACAACCACCGTAGACCCCACTAACCGCCGTAGCTTGGTTGGGGTCTCACCGTCACCTACCCACCCTGGACCTACGACAAGGCTCCAGGTTCCAGTGGGTGAACCTCTCCTCCAAGAGAGTGAAGCAAGAGCTTAAAAGAGCTTAGTAGTGATAATCCAAGGAATCATGCAGAGCATAGCAATCTCTTGTGGTGATATAGCAATTCCCCCAATAAGAGACAGGACTCTAGATTGAGGGTGAAGTAGAACTGTCTGTACTGGCACATACAGCCTCTTTTATTCACATTTTACACGCATAGCACTGCCCACAGGGTTTTGCAGAACAACCAATCAATACGTACAATACACTCAGACACTCCCACACAAAATCCTCCCCTCTGCCTGTGATATAATTACTGAACACAATGGTCTAACTTAATTATCACAAGCAGGAAAATACAGTTTTACACAATATTCATAACTCTAAAAGTATACATCACATTCACATATACTTACATTTTCAGAATCAGCATACTCCAAATACAAACATACGTCAAAATCATACAAATTGGTCCAGTGGGTCAAAAGTTAGATCGACGTCCTTTGTGACCAAATGAAGCATGGCTTTTCTACCCAAAACCAGTTCCACAGAGTCTTCTATCCTGGAGATAATTGGGAAGTAATCTAATTATCTACAAGGACAGAGGCAAAACTCCATTAGCCACATGGTAGCAAAATACAATAAAATACATAAAAATATATAACTGTGCAGCTATTGCATAAAACAGGTACATTCATCAACAGGTACATATCCCCAGATAGCTTAGATCTGAGCGCACATTATTACTGAATGGCGCTCAGATCAAATACATACAGTTCAATTGCCATGGAGCCAAAGTCTTTCACATAGTCTTTCGTTCTACGAATGGGTTCCATGGCATAGCTATCTGGGGTAACACTGCTCCAAAGTAGTTTAAGGGCCAGGAACAGCAATATAAAAATCCATTATGCCCAAATCAGTTCCTAGAAGGGCAATACATCCCAGGGCCATAGTCGCAGGGCAGGAGGCTGCCAAACAGGCCCCTCCAAAAACCAATGGCGAGGTTACTTTTGCCACACTGTCAGTTTATGTGTCTGTGCAAGTGTAACGGAACCTTCCGTTAATGGACGATTCGTAGCTTGCGCCGAGGACCACAAGCACTGCACCGGACACCACAACCACCGCAGACTCCACAATCGCCGTAGCTTAACTGGAGTCTTGCCATCTTCTTTCCACCCTGGATCAGCTTCTGTCCTCCAGGACCGTGTGGGAAAGACCTCTCCTCCAGGAGAGCGTATCAGGAACAAGCTCTTAAAAGAGCTAAGTGATTAAAGCTCAAGGGAGTATGCAGAGCATAGCAATCCCCAGTGTGATATAGCAGTTCCCTCCAATCACGAGACAACACTACGTGTTGAGGGTCAAGAAGGTCTGTCTGTACTGGCACATACAGCCTCTTTTATTCACATTCTACAAACATAGTACTGCCCACAGGGTTTTGAAGAACAACCAATCAACACATTACAACACAGCTAACACTTCCGTTCATTACATCAGAAATCCTCCCCTCTGCCTGTGATACAATTATCTCAACACAATAGACTAACTTAATTATCACAGACAGGAAAATACAGTATTATAAAACATATCACATGCAATAACCCCATAAAAAAATATATTTTCGGAACCGGGGGATCTGGGTGAACCACATATCCAAACTTCACCCAGATCCGTTCAGTAATTTGGAAGATACGGTTTAATGCAGATTCCCCAGAACATATACAGGCAATATGAAAAATAATTACTGTTAAATGTGTCCCCTGTTCTGTAGTTTTAAACTACTGAACGATGTCTTTGTGCACCAAATACCGGTGAGATGGCACCGTGTAGAAATGTCAAAACAGTGTCTGTGAGTTAAAATGGCCGCCATCCATTGTTCTCACCATGTGCTTCATCCATTGTTCTCACCACGTGCCTCTGATACATGAAATGGTGGCCACCCAGTAACTCCACAGTTTGTCTGGTAGTTTATCCAGCCGAACCAACAGATGAAACACATGGGGAACAGTGCAAAAAAATGAAGGGAATCATAAATAATATGGACAATAGTCAATCTCCAGTTTTGTCACAGGGCACAAATAGTGTTTTCAAATGCCATATATCCCAGGGCCATAGTCAGAAGGTAGGAGGCGGGCAAGTGGCCCCCTCCAAGAACACGTGGCGAGGTCTGTTCCGCCACAGTAAGTATGTCTATCAGTGTATGTTTGTGGGTCAGTTTGTCTGTCTCTATGTGTCTGTATATCTGTGTGTTTATCTATATGGTCATTGTGTGTATATGTGTGTGTGTATATATATATATATATATATATATATATATGTGTGTGTATCTGTGTATCTGCAAGTGTGTCAGGTGTGTGTACATGTGTGTCTGTGTTTGTATCTTTGTGTATGTCAGGATGTGTATCCAACAGTGGTCAGAGATGGTGCTGCCCCTTTGTTTAACACATCAGTGTTTTATATGCCTGTTCTTTGTGGTTAACGCATATCGTAACCGTGGCTGTTGTTTCCCATATGGACAGCCAGTCCAATGGGTCCTCCAAGGGGCCTAGATCACTCTCCAAAGCTGAGACAGGTTAATGAAGCTTCAACAGGTTTTGGGGTCAGAAGAGTGTAAATATCTAGCCTCTCTGCACTGGCATTGTATAGATGCTTTTTTGAAAGTCGTTAAGGTTGTTGTGCCGTATTTGTATGTATTGTAAGTAATCAAATGTATTGAAGGGTGTTTTTGGGGTAGGTCTGTGAAGAGTTCATTCTCTTCAAAACGCGCAAAATGATGAGGGTTCACCAGGGACGTTAATATTCAAGGTTTTGTTTCTAGCAGTTCCTCTGCAAACTGGCTAGGAGCGAGTTGGGAATATATCTTGAGGGACTCCTCTTCTAGTGTACTCCTCAGTTTATTGTTTTTATTATTTCTTAATGCTTCTGTGTAATTGCCTTGAATTTATAACTACTCGAAATTCCATGAAGCCTTGTCTAGTCTACATTCGCTCACCAGATTGTAGTACTCTTACAGGGTTATTCACTAGAGTGAGAATTAAAGAGAATTCAAAATTAATTTAAAATTTAAACACACTGAATCCACTATACACACACACACACACACACACACACACACACACACACACAATACATTCACTACACACAGACACTGCATCTACTACACAAACAGCATTCACTACCCAAACACACACTCTGCATCTACTATACACACACACACACACACACCTAATGAATTCACTACAAACACTGCATCCACTCCACACACACACACTTCATAATGGAATTTTGAGTGTTTTGGGGGGAAGCATTTCATCCTTGGACCCAGGCAGACAATGTCTTGGCCTGGCCCACATAAAGAAATAAAAACAATTAACTGTTTGTCTTAGCAGCAGCCCCCTGGTAATTAAAGCCTTAGAATTTAATATCTATATCTATATCTTATCCTTAAAGTTGGATAACTATTTTTGATGCAAGCTTTGTTTCCATTTATTTATTCATACATGATTCTTTTCCTTTCATATGACAATTCTAAACTGTTGTATGGAAAAACTCAATAAAAACATTACCTAAAAAAAATAATAATAATAATTTCCACAAGCTGTATTTAAAGTAGTTTTATCTACCCAGTTTCTAAACAATCTGAACAATTGTGGAATATATTTTATAACCATTATGTTTTACACCAACCTAATTGACATTTAGATATAAAATATAAAAAAAATATCTATTAGTGATTAGACATTTTGGAAGTTGTCACTTCAACATTTGTGAATAAACAACTAATGTAGCCCTCTGTTTCTAGGTTTGGGAGAATGTGTCGCATCTAAATTTTATTGAAGTGGGTATTAGCCAAACAGCCGATATGGACATTTTCTTTGTCTCCATGGTGTGTGGAGGACAGCGAGACTCCAGCCAAGCTGCGACGGCAAAGTGTCTACAGTGATGATGGTGTCTGGTTAAGTGCTTGGATGTACTCAGAGGTACTGGGAAGCAGTGATTCAGCCAGTTCCATCCAGGGGTTAAAAAGTTAGCTGGAAGTCCTTTTGTGACGGACCGCACGCACATTTTCATGCTCAAAACAGTTCCAGAGATTCAGGCTGTGCGGCCGGTCTATTTCCCATGTTAAATTCAGTTCAAACAGACGAACGACAACCATTCGAATTGACACTGGGGACACTGGGGGCACTCTGTCAGGGTGCCAGGCGGTCCGTCACAAATACATAAAGTGATTCCATGCACATTTGAAGCAATCTCTCAAGTGTTGTTACTCCTGTGTCTGTCTCCCTCCAAGTCAACTGTGCTACCATCAGCTCCACCACGCAGGCTCGCTGCCTAGGTGTTCTCTTTGACTCTGACCTCTCCTTCAAGCCTCATGTTCAGTCTGTCGACAAATCCTGTTGTTTCCATCTCAAAAATATTGCGCGCATCCGACCCTACTTAATGCCAGATGCGACTAAGGTGCTGGTCCATTCCACTGTCCTTTCTCACCTTGACTACTGTAATCCGCTTCTCAGTGGTCTTACGTGCTCCCAAATTGCGCCGTTACAATCCATAATGAATGCGGCAGCAAGGCTCATCTTCCTGTCTGCCCGCACCTCCCACGCCTCACCCTTCTGTCAGTCCCTACATTGGCTTCCTGTAAAATATAGGGCTCAATTTAAAATAATGTTTCTTGCTTTCAGATCTCTACATAATGCTGCTGCCACCTATCTATCCTTCATAATACACAAGTATGTCCCGTCTAGGCCCTTACGATCTGCTGAAGACTTACGTCTATCTTCTGTCCGTACTCCCACCTCTGATGCTCGCCTTCAAGACTTCTCGAGGGCTGCAACGTACCTGTGGAACTCACTTCCCTCCTCCGTTAGACACTCACCCAGCCTCCACTCCTTCAAAAAAATCATTAAAAACCCACTTCATAAAAGCGTATCAATTAAACTGTTAGAAGTCTTGTTTTATATGCCTGTTCTTTGTGGTTAACGCATATCGTAACTGTGGCTGTTGCTTCCCATATGGACGGCCAGTCCAATAGGTCCTCCGAGGGGCCTAGATCACTCAACTGATTCCTCTTTTGCAACTGTCACTAGTCTAATACTATCCTTACCTTTTGTGTCACTTTACCCCACTCCCTCTAGCATGTAAGCTCATTGAGCAGGGCCCTCAACCCTCTGTTCCTGTGTGTCCAGCTTGTCTGGTTACAACTACATGTCCGTTCGTCCACCCATTGTAAAGCGCTGCAGTATTTGACGGCGCTATATAAATAATAACAATAATAATAATAATAATAATAATTAGTGGTTACATGTGTCAATCCATGTCTTGACTTATTAAGAAACAAAACATAATATAATGCAGCATAACAGAATAATATGAACAGAAACTGGGGTGTACAGTCTATGTTTATGCTGTATTGTGGGGGTGTCTTTCCATGTCTTCTTGGTATTTTCGTTTTTGTTTTTTGCTCCCATTTGGGGATTGTAGGTAAGTGCGATTTGTGGATGTTATTGTGGTGGCTAGGTTCCTACATGGGATATGGGATGTGAGGGCCTGACTAGTCCTATACAGTGGTTGGGGTATGAGTTGCAAGAGTGAATTAAACTGCTGAATGTACAAATTGGAGGTGTTGTGGTGCGGTTGGCAGAGAGAGAAGGGTTAAAGGGTCAGTGAAGGGGGGTGACTGAAACGGAAAATTATCGCTAATATACTGAGGATTTTATTAATTGTTCCAAATATCTAAATTAATACCAGATATGGTATTAACTGGTATATCTTAATAATTTAGATGTTGCTCCCAAAGTACAAATGAAATAGAGTCTACTCACCATGTGGGCTATTCCAAAATGGAGTTAGTCACATGTGGCATGCATCACAATGGGAGTCAAATAACACTCTCCTGAAAGTATTACCCAAAAAACAAACAAAAAGAATGTACACTCGAAGAGATATGATTTAACAATTAATATTCAAACTGACACACATCTTGGTAGTTGTGTAAAAGATATATAATGTTTAATATACATGCATAAAGAAACAATATATACACATATATAAAACAGTTGTCAAATAGTATATACTTTAACTAACAATGCAATACTACAACAATCTTAACTGCAATAATCTCACAATGCTAAATACACATCAGCCATTGTATAATAAAAATGATTTTGCCCTACCAAAATGTTATCCAAAAAATATGATTTTCCGTTTAATTCAGCCAGTTCCATCCAGGGGTTAAAAAGTTAGCTGGAAGTCCTTTTGTGACGGACCGCACGCACATTTTCATGCTCAAAACAGTTCCAGAGATTCAGGCTGTGCGGCCGGTCTATTTCCCATGTTAAATTCAGTTCAAACAGACGAACGACAACCATTCGAATTGACACTGGGGACACTGGGGGCACTCTGTCAGGGTGCCAGGCGGTCCGTCACAAATACATAAAGTGATTCCATGCACATTTGAAGCAATCTCTCAAGTGTTGTTACTCCTGTGTCTGTCTCCCTCCAAGTCAACTGTGCTACCATCAGCTCCACCACGCAGGCTCGCTGCCTAGGTGTTCTCTTTGACTCTGACCTCTCCTTCAAGCCTCATGTTCAGTCTGTCGACAAATCCTGTTGTTTCCATCTCAAAAATATTGCGCGCATCCGACCCTACTTAATGCCAGATGCGACTAAGGTGCTGGTCCATTCCACTGTCCTTTCTCACCTTGACTACTGTAATCCGCTTCTCAGTGGTCTTACGTGCTCCCAAATTGCGCCGTTACAATCCATAATGAATGCGGCAGCAAGGCTCATCTTCCTGTCTGCCCGCACCTCCCACGCCTCACCCTTCTGTCAGTCCCTACATTGGCTTCCTGTAAAATATAGGGCTCAATTTAAAATAATGTTTCTTGCTTTCAGATCTCTACATAATGCTGCTGCCACCTATCTATCCTTCATAATACACAAGTATGTCCCGTCTAGGCCCTTACGATCTGCTGAAGACTTACGTCTATCTTCTGTCCGTACTCCCACCTCTGATGCTCGCCTTCAAGACTTCTCGAGGGCTGCAACGTACCTGTGGAACTCACTTCCCTCCTCCGTTAGACACTCACCCAGCCTCCACTCCTTCAAAAAAATCATTAAAAACCCACTTCATAAAAGCGTATCAATTAAACTGTTAGAAGTCTTGTTTTATATGCCTGTTCTTTGTGGTTAACGCATATCGTAACTGTGGCTGTTGCTTCCCATATGGACGGCCAGTCCAATAGGTCCTCCGAGGGGCCTAGATCACTCAACTGATTCCTCTTTTGCAACTGTCACTAGTCTAATACTATCCTTACCTTTTGTGTCACTTTACCCCACTCCCTCTAGCATGTAAGCTCATTGAGCAGGGCCCTCAACCCTCTGTTCCTGTGTGTCCAGCTTGTCTGGTTACAACTACATGTCCGTTCGTCCACCCATTGTAAAGCGCTGCAGTATTTGACGGCGCTATATAAATAATAACAATAATAATAATAATAATAATAATTAGTGGTTACATGTGTCAATCCATGTCTTGACTTATTAAGAAACAAAACATAATATAATGCAGCATAACAGAATAATATGAACAGAAACTGGGGTGTACAGTCTATGTTTATGCTGTATTGTGGGGGTGTCTTTCCATGTCTTCTTGGTATTTTCGTTTTTGTTTTTTGCTCCCATTTGGGGATTGTAGGTAAGTGCGATTTGTGGATGTTATTGTGGTGGCTAGGTTCCTACATGGGATATGGGATGTGAGGGCCTGACTAGTCCTATACAGTGGTTGGGGTATGAGTTGCAAGAGTGAATTAAACTGCTGAATGTACAAATTGGAGGTGTTGTGATGCGGTTGGCAGAGAGAGAAGGGTTAAAGGGTCAGTGAAGGGGGGTGACTGAAACGGAAAATTATCGCTAATATACTGAGGATTTTATTAATTGTTCCAAATATCTAAATTAATACCAGATATGGTATTAACTGGTATATCTTAATAATTTAGATGTTGCTCCCAAAGTACAAATGAAATAGAGTCTACTCACCATGTGGGCTATTCCAAAATGGAGTTAGTCACATGTGGCATGCATCACAATGGGAGTCAAATAACACTCTCCTGAAAGTATTACCCAAAAAACAAACAAAAAGAATGTACACTCGAAGAGATATGATTTAACAATTAATATTCAAACTGACACACATCTTGGTAGTTGTGTAAAAGATATATAATGTTTAATATACATGCATAAAGAAACAATATATACACATATATAAAACAGTTGTCAAATAGTATATACTTTAACTAACAATGCAATACTACAACAATCTTAACTGCAATAATCTCACAATGCTAAATACACATCAGCCATTGTATAATAAAAATGATTTTGCCCTACCAAAATGTTATCCAAAAAATATGATTTTCCGTTTAATCAAACCACCAAATAATAATTGATTAAACTAAAATGAAACTAAACTAAAATGAGACTAAAATAAAACTAAACTTAAAAATAAAAACAGCGATACAAATACTTATCAGTTGCCAGCTGCAAGATGTTCAATGCTCGGCCTGGAAAAAGAATGGTTCCCTTCCAGCACGTGGCTTCACCTTATAAAGGGACTGAGCATGTGACTTTCCTTACCCAATCCCTGTGTGCCATTGAATGGGGAGGAGTCAGGCATCCATCTTGGCCGCATGGCTCAGACAAAGAAAGTCTCCAAAAAGGTGCTCACTACTCCCCCTAATGGTACAATTCTAAAATGGCACTCAACATAATAAACTGTATTAAGTGATTTCTAATGAATAAGACCATAATAAACCCGTGTCCATTACAGGGACCCAAGATAGGATTACAAGAAAGAAAAGGGAGAAAGAAGGATTTCGGGAAGAGTAAGAGAAAAAGGAGGAGGAAAAAAAGGGGAGTGGTGATGGTGCATAGCGGGAGGGGTGAGTTAGGGCAGGTTGAGGAAAGTACCAAGAGCCATGGGTCCCATATTTTGTCAAAATGTTTAATTGTGTCATGGATTAGTGCTGAATGCCTGTCCATTTTTCTGGTCTCTTTTTGCTTTTTACATCTTTTTACATCTCCTAGGGTTGGGATTTTGATTAAACCCCAATTTTCTGCTATGGCCCTTCTAGTTGATAACACTATTTTTGTTATTAGCTTGTTTTGGTCTCTGGGAATATCTCAGTAGGGATTGGAGAGCAGACATATCCATGGGTCTTTCGGAATTTTTGTATGTAGGATCTTTGAAGCGAACTGTGTGATTTCACGCCACAGTTGGGCAATTTGGTTACATTCCCACAATAGGTGGAAGTAGGTGCCATTTTGTCTGCATCCCTTCCAACAGTGGTCAGAGATGGTGCTGCCCCTTTGTTTAACACATCAGTGTTTTATATGCCTGTTCTTTGTGGTTAACGCATATCGTAACCGTGGCTGTTGTTTCCCATATGGACAGCCAGTCCAATGGGTCCTCCAAGGGGCCTAGATCACTCTCCAAAGCTGAGACAGGTTAATGAAGCTTCAACAGGTTTTGGGGTCAGAAGAGTGTAAATATCTAGCCTCTCTGCACTGGCATTGTATAGATGCTTTTTTGAAAGTCGTTAAGGTTGTTGTGCCGTATTTGTATTGTATAATAAAAATGATTTTGCCCTACCAAAATGTTATCCAAAAAATATGATTTTCCGTTTAATCAAACCACCAAATAATAATTGATTAAACTAAAATGAAACTAAACTAAAATGAGACTAAAATAAAACTAAACTTAAAAATAAAAACAGCGATACAAATACTTATCAGTTGCCAGCTGCAAGATGTTCAATGCTCGGCCTGGAAAAAGAATGGTTCCCTTCCAGCACGTGGCTTCACCTTATAAAGGGACTGAGCATGTGACTTTCCTTACCCAATCCCTGTGTGCCATTGAATGGGGAGGAGTCAGGCATCCATCTTGGCCGCATGGCTCAGACAAAGAAAGTCTCCAAAAAGGTGCTCACTACTCCCCCTAATGGTACAATTCTAAAATGGCACTCAACATAATAAACTGTATTAAGTGATTTCTAATGAATAAGACCATAATAAACCCGTGTCCATTACAGGGACCCAAGATAGGATTACAAGAAAGAAAAGGGAGAAAGAAGGATTTCGGGAAGAGTAAGACAAAAAGGAGGAGGAAAAAAAGGGGAGTGGTGATGGTGCATAGCGGGAGGGGTGAGCTAGGGCAGGTTGAGGAAAGTACCAAGAGCCATGGGTCCCATATTTTGTCAAAATGTTTAATTGTGTCATGGATTAGTGCTGAATGCCTGTCCATTTTTCTGGTCTCTTTTTGCTTTTTACATCTTTTTACATCTCCTAGGGTTGGGATTTTGATTAAACCCCAATTTTCTGCTATGGCCCTTCTAGTTGATAACACTATTTTTGTTATTAGCTTGTTTTGGTCTCTGGGAATATCTCAGTAGGGATTGGAGAGCAGACATATCCATGGGTCTTTCGGAATTTTTGTATGTAGGATCTTTGAAGCGAACTGTGTGATTTCACGCCACAGTTGGGCAATTTGGTTACATTCCCACAATAGGTGGAAGTAGGTGCCATTTTGTCTGCATCCCTTCCAACAGTGGTCAGAGATGGTGCTGCCCCTTTGTTTAACACATCAGTGTTTTATATGCCTGTTCTTTGTGGTTAACGCATATCGTAACCGTGGCTGTTGTTTCCCATATGGACAGCCAGTCCAATGGGTCCTCCAAGGGGCCTAGATCACTCTCCAAAGCTGAGACAGGTTAATGAAGCTTCAACAGGTTTTGGGGTCAGAAGAGTGTAAATATCTAGCCTCTCTGCACTGGCATTGTATAGATGCTTTTTTGAAAGTCGTTAAGGTTGTTGTGCCGTATTTGTATTGTATAATAAAAATGATTTTGCCCTACCAAAATGTTATCCAAAAAATATGATTTTCCGTTTAATCAAACCACCAAATAATAATTGATTAAACTAAAATGAAACTAAACTAAAATGAGACTAAAATAAAACTAAACTTAAAAATAAAAACAGCGATACAAATACTTATCAGTTGCCAGCTGCAAGATGTTCAATGCTCGGCCTGGAAAAAGAATGGTTCCCTTCCAGCACGTGGCTTCACCTTATAAAGGGACTGAGCATGTGACTTTCCTTACCCAATCCCTGTGTGCCATTGAATGGGGAGGAGTCAGGCATCCATCTTGGCCGCATGGCTCAGACAAAGAAAGTCTCCAAAAAGGTGCTCACTACTCCCCCTAATGGTACAATTCTAAAATGGCACTCAACATAATAAACTGTATTAAGTGATTTCTAATGAATAAGACCATAATAAACCTGTGTCCATTACAGGGACCCAAGATAGGATTACAAGAAAGAAAAGGGAGAAAGAAGGATTTCGGGAAGAGTAAGAAAAAAAGGAGGAGGAAAAAAAGGGGAGTGGTGATGGTGCATAGCGGGAGGGGTGAGTTAGGGCAGGTTGAGGAAAGTACCAAGAGCCATGGGTCCCATATTTTGTCAAAATGTTTAATTGTGTCATGGATTAGTGCTGAATGCCTGTCCATTTTTCTGGTCTCTTTTTGCTTTTTACATCTTTTTACATCTCCTAGGGTTGGGATTTTGATTAAACCCCAATTTTCTGCTATGGCCCTTCTAGTTGATAACACTATTTTTGTTATTAGCTTGTTTTGGTCTCTGGGAATATCTCAGTAGGGATTGGAGAGCAGACATATCCATGGGTCTTTCGGAATTTTTGTATGTAGGATCTTTGAAGCGAACTGTGTGATTTCACGCCACAGTTGGGCAATTTGGTTACATTCCCACAATAGGTGGAAGTAGGTGCCATTTTGTCTGCATCCCTTCCAACAGTGGTCAGAGATGGTGCTGCCCCTTTGTTTAACACATCAGTGTTTTATATGCCTGTTCTTTGTGGTTAACGCATATCGTAACCGTGGCTGTTGTTTCCCATATGGACAGCCAGTCCAATGGGTCCTCCAAGGGGCCTAGATCACTCTCCAAAGCTGAGACAGGTTAATGAAGCTTCAACAGGTTTTGGGGTCAGAAGAGTGTAAATATCTAGCCTCTCTGCACTGGCATTGTATAGATGCTTTTTTGAAAGTCGTTAAGGTTGTTGTGCCGTATTTGTATGTATTGTAAGTAATCAAATGTATTGAAGGGTGTTTTTTGGGGTAGGTCTGTGAAGAGTTCATTCTCTTCAAAACGCGCAAAATGATGAGGGTTCACCAGGGACGTTAATATTCAAGGTTTTGTTTCTAGCAGTTCCTCTGCAAACTGGCTAGGAGCGAGTTGGGAATATATCTTGAGGGACTCCTCTTCTAGTGTACTCCTCAGTTTATTGTTTTTATTATTTCTTAATGCTTCTGTGTAATTGCCTTGAATTTATAACTACTCGAAATTCCATGAAGCCTTGTCTAGTCTACATTCGCTCACCAGATTGTAGTACTCTTACAGGGTTATTCACTAGAGTGAGAATTAAAGAGAATTCAAAATTAATTTAAAATTTAAACACACTGAATCCACTATACACACACACACACACACACACACACAATACATTCACTACACACAGACACTGCATCTACTACACACACAGCATTCACTACCCAAACACACACTCTGCATCTACTATACACACACACACACACACACCTAATGAATTCACTACAAACACTGCATCCACTCCACACACACACACTTCATAATGGAATTTTGAGTGTTTTGGGGGGAAGCATTTCATCCTTGGACCCAGGCAGACAATGTCTTGGCCTGGCCCACATAAAGAAATAAAAACAATTAACTGTTTGTCTTAGCAGCAGCCCCCTGGTAATTAAAGCCTTAGAATTTAATATCTATATCTATATCTTATCCTTAAAGTTGGATAACTATTTTTGATGCAAGCTTTGTTTCCATTTATTTATTCATACATGATTCTTTTCCTTTCATATGACAATTCTAAACTGTTGTATGGAAAAACTCAATAAAAACATTACCTAAAAAAAATAATAATAATAATTTCCACAAGCTGTATTTAAAGTAGTTTTATCTACCCAGTTTCTAAACAATCTGAACAATTGTGGAATATATTTTATAACCATTATGTTTTACACCAACCTAATTGACATTTAGATATAAAATATAAAAAAAATATCTATTAGTGATTAGACATTTTGGAAGTTGTCACTTCAACATTTGTGAATAAACAACTAATGTAGCCCTCTGTTTCTAGGTTTGGGAGAATGTGTCGCATCTAAATTTTATTGAAGTGGGTATTAGCCAAACAGCCGATATGGACATTTTCTTTGTCTCTGGTCTGCATAACGATGGCTCTAAGAATGCTTTTGATGGTCCAGGTCGTGTTTTGGGCCATGCATTCATGCCTCCAATGAGTAAAAAGAAGGACATAGACGGGGACCTACATCTGGATAATGATGAGAAATGGACAATTAATGAGAAGAAAGGTAACTCCAACTAATGCTAATGTGTCTTTCAGCTGTTTTACAAAACTGTAGAATGTTTAGTTGGTAGTGATAAATCAACATTTCTAAGATATAAAATAAATGAGTCAAAACAAAAACTCTGATACGGTAAAAAGAAACCCAACTAAGAAAACAAACTGGAATGTCCAAAGTAAAATTTAGTCAGACTCCTTGGGGAAATGAAACAAGAGATATTTTCAGCATCTCTGAACAAGATAAATACATGAGAAAACAAATAAATGAAAATAAGATAAAAAGCAATTGTACAGTAGGTAGTGTTACCTAAATATGCAAATAAGACAAATATTAATTTTAAAGACAAACAGAACATATGAAAAACAAAAGTGGAATTTTAAATTAGATTTTTTAATACACATGCTTATATGCAAGGAAGAAAAGTTCAATGTAGGTGACAAAGTGTAGACTTACATGTTCATCTCAAATATGTAGATCAAAGATATAGCTGTAAACTATGCACTTTGACCTGAATTTTATATGGATGCTAAATAGAACTCCCACCTTTTAGGCCAAATGCTGTGAGATAATCAAATGCTACATTTGAATCTTTCCATTGATTAATTTGCAAAATTGTCAGTAGGTAAGAAGTACTGTACCTACTCCATAGAGAACAAGTACCATATTTCAGTTTTTGTAATATCTTTAGCAGATATGGGCTACATTAAACAGTTTGCTATACATAAACAAACTGTTGTATATGCCCTAACTACTTATTTGAAGGGTTCAACAGCTACAAATTCATAGAAGACTAAGTAAATAAAGCTGTCTAAGGATAACGCTTGACCATAGACTTCAAGATTAATACTTACAGAAAAACTCCAAGCACCATAACCACTACAGTGGGGGCAGGCAAATAAATGACCCAAGGTAGCTACAGAAGTAATTTCCATTTGTTTTTTCATGTAATTTTTGATTGATGCCCACTCCTATTTCCTTATTAGTGGAGGAGTCTCATTTCTGTTAATGCAGTGCTTAGAATTTGTCTATGTTCTAAGTACTGATGCAGTCAGGAGCTGTACTATTTAGAGTATAAGCACAGCTACCTGCAGCTGTGCTACTTGCTGCTCATCATGCCTACACCACAGTTCCTGCCCTCACTCTGTTCACAGAACAAGGGGAAATATATAAAAGTACTGATACTTGACCTGGGTTCCTGGCTGGCACTTTGGGGGGGAGGGGGGATAAGTACCTGTTCTGGTGCTTCCCCCCCGGATCCAGCTTGTGGGTCCTGAGGGACAGGCTCTTATGGCAAACTATGCCATTACGCAGTATCAAAGTGTATTCAAACGTATTGGGCACGTAGGAGGCAGGGAGATTTTCACCCCAAATTGTGTCCTTTTTAAAAAAAAATAAGGTATTAAATTATTTGAAAACATGATCCAAATCTACTAAATTAAAGCCTATATGTTACATCTTCTACCTACCCCCAAATGTTACTAATATGGTATAACACAGATACATAATAGTTACTATATCTACCAATAAGTTAAATTTTCATGGTATTTTCACTAATCTATTAGCCACAAAGAATTAGTAGAAACAATTAATAGAAAGTTTAACACTATAAGAAACATATTGGACAATTAATAAAACAAGAGTATAAGAATTTCAAATAAGATAAGTGGACAGATTGAGGTGGGTAATGAGTCCTTCCATTGTTTTAATAGCAAATAAAGGGTGCATTTGTGCTGTGTGGTGGAGAGAAAATAACTTTGTGAGTCACAGTGAGCCAGCTTAGTGCTCCATTGTTTCAATTAAACAAACTGTGTCACAGTATAGTATAAAAGAATGTTGTGTACTAAAAAGTCCCATTACAAAATTTGGTCAACCGGCTACAACTCTCCAAGAACTTCCCTAGCTGTGAGGAAGCCTTGGAGAACTGTAGCTCATTGATACCTATTTTAAATAGTGGGTTTTACAAACTGTCAAATAAATACATATTTTAGAAAGGCCAAAGAAAGAGTTACCTGCGCTCTCTCCTGAATCCCTATGTATTTTAAAACAAATGGAGGTTATTTAGTTACTCCAATGGCCATTGGAAGGAATGCCCGTCTGCCAAAGTCAAGGCAGACCCCCTAGGCGGGTCCTACACTGACCTTTCACCTTGCTTCCTTGTGAGGGTGTATGTAATGTTTTCTATTGGAAAATTGCTTGCAAAGTGACATTATGAAGGGAAGTAAATTTATGTAGGTCAGAACAAGTTGGAGTAAGGTGACTAACTAGATATTGTAGAGAAGATGTGCACCATGAAACCATGGGAATGTTATTTCTAACGGTGACCTATGGGGTTTAATATTTAGGGCCTCACATTTAGAGGAATTTATGGTATCGCAATCAATTCAAAAATTGAGTTATGTAGTTTTATGCATTTGGTAATGATGTATGGAATGAGCATGCAGAAAGTAGGACATCATCTTCGAACCGTGATTAGGCCATGGTTGTAAAATGGCAAACTCAACTACTGCAGTAAAATTTTCCATAATGAAGAGAGGGAAAGGGACAGCCTGACATGTGCTATTCACCATTATATATGGATTTAATAAGTTATACTGCCTGCCATAAAAAGTGGACTGAGGCAAAAATGTATTCATGACCTCCCTTTGAGGTTTCTAAACTAACTTGTATAATTCCTTTTTGTCAACCAGTTCGAAAAGCATCATTTAGAGTTCATGCTAGATCTATCAAGTTCATAGCGTGCATAGACAATTGAGGATTATTAGCACACTAAAGCTAGTATAATCTTAATTTTAATAATGACAGGAGGCGAGCATTTTGCATAATCTCTTTACTAGCTCCACAGTAGCAAAGAAAAAACAGGGGAAAAAAAAAGGTACCAATCACAAGAGAGAGTAGGATGTACATAAGGTATAGTGACCTAATCATTTCCTCTTTCAAAAAGCGACATCAAGAAAAAACAAACATATAGCAAGCAATAACCCCTAAATCAGGCCTGTCCAACCTGCGGCCCCACAGATGTTGCTGAACTACATCTCCCATGATTCTTTCAATTAAACAGATAGCCAGGGAATCATGGAAGTTGTAGTTCAGCAACATCTGGGGGGGCGCAGGTTGGACAGCCCTGCCCTAAATCCAACATCAGAAGGAACAAACTTCCCCGTGAATTCCACACAAACAACCAAAATGTCTTCAACGACTAATCAAAATCCAAAGGAGCAAACTTCCAGAGAATTTCACATGAACAACTAAATGTCTTCAGTGACAAATCATACTGATAAGAGAATGTGTGATGGGTTTAGACAGTGTCATGTTTCTGAGCATGTCAGATTGGAGAGAATTGCAGTGGTTGACTTCAGGTAGTTTATTGGTGTTTAAACTATTAGAAGTACTCTCTCCCAGTCACGTGAGGACTGTCTCATAGAATCTGATAAGAAATATATGAACAATAATAAAAAAAGTTGGTTTTAAAATTTTTTTGAAGAATAAACTTGAGTAAAATACACAAAATTAACATTAGTAAAAAATTAATTCTAAGTATTCTCTGATGCAGTGTGTTGTATAGAGTGATCCTTACATCCACCTTATAGATTCACAGCTATTATGCACTTTCTTTCACCAATATGCAGATTTGTAAAGGCACTTTAATGTTTAAAAGTATGTTACCATATAACTATAAAGATACTTGTGACGAGACCAATCTCGTCACATTGCATTGGAGGAGCCTGGTTGCCCACCTACTGCCTTTGGATTATGGACCGGCAGCTAAAGGGTTAATTTTACTGTGCAGAAGGATTTATTTCTTCCTTTCTGCACAGCCGTTCGGTAGATTCTATCTACTGAACAAACAGTTTCTTTTCAGCCTCCCCAGAGCTGTGGGAAGCCAGCCGGCGACCTTAATTGGCCACCCAGAAGCTGGAGTACGCCCTCCATTTACCTCCCTGAAGCCGCGGTTAACCGCGGCTTAACGAGCGTGTGCCGGCAATTGACCACCCAGTAGCTGCGGTTAACCGCAGCTTAATTGATTGTTACTGGGTGGTCGCGGTTACACTTAGCCGCCACACGATGGCGGTGTTCTGGAGCTCCCCGGGCAGCCAGCGCTTTTCTGCCCGGCTTTCCTGCATCAAACCCGGACACTTTTACGTGCAGGCACCGCTGAACCTCCATCCCCTGGTTCTAATTCGTACGGATTTAACGAATGCATGTAAATTCGGTATTTTGTGTTGGGGGAATGTTTTAACCCAGATAGCTATGCCATGGAGCCTGTTCGTGGAATTAAAGACTTTGGCTCCATGGCAATTAAACTGTATTCGTGTGGTCTGAGTGCCATTCACCTAATAATGTGCACTCAGACCTGAGCTATCTGGGGATATGTTACATGTATATATTTACTGTACCATTTGTCCCATTATGTATTTTAAAGTGATAGTCTGTCTTTGTGTCCCCACGTGTGTAATGGAGTTTTGCCTTTGTCCTGGGAGATAATTGAATTACTTCTCCAGGGCAGAGGGGAGGAAGCCAGGATGCATTGTGGGGATGTTTTACTTCTGTATGTCTGTAATTGGTACGTCTGTCTTTTGTTACAGTCTTCCATCTGGTCCCCTAGGGGAGTGTCCACCAGGTGGGAGACCTGCATAAATACTGGGCAGGTAGCCCTCATTAAGCAGACTACTGATTGACCCTCAACACGGAGCTCTGTCTCGTTCTTGGGGGGATTCACTGTATGCTGTTAGAGACTGGTTGCCAGGAGTGTAAGCTGATTGTCTGATTTTCCTGTTCATCTGCTAGCAGCTATTTGGGAGGTTCCAGTTCGGGAGTTGGAGTGCTATTTTGTATCCAGTTTGGGAGTTTGGTGTTCTGCAGTAGCTGTGCCTGTATCTCTGGAAGGGGAAGATCTCCTAAACGGCTGTTAACTAATCTAGTATAGTTAAAAATACAACATTTTATCAGAAAAGATATAATAAAAAACATACTAAAATTAAACTAGTGCTTGCAGTTTTGCCAGTTTCGAAATACAGAAGGAGTACATCATTACAAATATATCTAGTACATGGTTAATCTGTTGCTCCTTGAGGAATGTTACAAAAAATCCTATGACTCAGACCTGATAAGAATTCTCGGCATCCCAAGTAGTTTTCAAGCTGATTGATGTTTTTCAGGATTTCTGTGCAGATTGATGTGCTGCTGATGAGGGCATGGGCGTAGGAATCGGGGGGGGGGGAATCATGCGGGGGGGACAGGTTATGGGGAAATCCCCCCCAGCTCCGCCGGCCCCCCCATGCTGCAGCCGTCCAAGCTCTCTGTACCAGGCGGCTGCAGCTTTGCCCTGGCGGTGCGTCCATGAGGGCGGACCGCACAGCCCGGACGCAGCCTGAGGAGAGGGGCTGACAGGAGGGAAGTGCTCAGCGCGCCCTCCTGTCACTCACTCCCTGTAGCGTGGCCAAGCCCTCTATTGGTATCTGTCTCCTGTACCCAAAAGGGGCGAACATGCCCAAAAAGAGGATATGTCTGCCCAAAGAATTAGAAGGCCAGCCTGGTATGAATGCATGTCAGGCTGCCTGCCAATCATGCAGCTGGCCAACTAAGGGCATACTATGCAGACAGCACCCTGAGCTTGACATAAATGCATCTAATGATGCGCTTGCTCAACGCTTTCTAAGGACTGTCCCCTAGCATCTGCTGGTCCACTCGTCTCCTTACCTTCTTACTAGCAGGCAGAAGCTCATGGTATATAGTCTGGGACAGAGAAAAGCTGTATGTAGTGAGTGTAGAAGCACATTGTTAGAGAGACCAAAGTCAGCATTACCTTAAAGGATCACTATAGGGTCAGGAACACAAACATGAATTCATGACCCTATAGTGTCAACACCACCATCTAGCCCCCCTGGGCCCCTCATGCCTCCATAAATATAGCAAAATCTTACTGTATTCAAGCCTGAAGCTGTAACTCTGCATGCTGTTAGAAGTGGTGGCCTAATCCAATCACAGTGCTTACCCATAGGATTGGCTGAGTACACTAGGCTGTAATGTAAAGACTGCAATTTCTCTGAAAAGACAGTGTTTACAGCAAAAAGCCTGACGGTAATGATTCTACTCACCAGAACAAATTCAATAAGCTGTAGTTGTTCTGGTGACCCTAGTGTCCCTTTAACTATATTCATTGTCAGCCAGTCCACACAAGTTTTGTTCCAATACATCCCTCTTAAATTTCCATACTTAAGTAAGGGTATGTGAAAAGTAGTTAGAGTTGCCATCTTTCTTGGAAAAACAAACCGGCCTTGCTAATTTGCATAATTAAATATGTATGGGTGACATCACATGATGTAAATCACAAGGAGTGACATAAGAGAAAATGCTGTAAAATCACCAAAAAACTACTTAGTTTGATTCTGCTGTATAGATGGATTCCTCCCAGTGGCCCCATGTCTCCAAGTGCCCCCATGTGTCGATTAATCCAGGTCTCAGTGTTCCTATGTATCAGTGTCTCAGTAGGAATTGACAGGGAGGGAGGGGGAGAAAGAGAGTGACAAGGGAGGGAGGGGGAGAAAGAGAGTGACAAGGGAGGGAGGGGGAGAAAGAGAGTGACAAGGGAGGGAGGGAGGCGGAGAAAGAGAGTGACAAGGGAGGGAGGGAGGGGGAGAAAGAGAGTGACAAGGGAGGAAGGGAGGGAAAAAGTGACAAGGGAGGGAGGGGAGAAAGAGAGTGACAAGGGAGGGAGGGGGGAGAAAGAGAGTGAAAAGGTAGGGAGGGGGAGAAAGAGAGTGACAAGGGAGGGAGGGGGAGAAAGAGAGTGACAAGGGAGGGAGAGAGATTGACATCCATCACACACACACACACAATCGCACAATCATTCAAACCTTACACACACAGAAACACACAATGCATTCCTTACACACACTAAATGCACTCCGTACACACACTGCATCCCGTACATACACAGAAACACACCTTGCAGCCCTTACACATACAAACACAGATTCACACAATGCATTCCTTACACACATATCAGGACATCCCCTACACACTCCACCCCCTGTGAACAAACTCATTGGTGGAACATGAAGGTGGACCCTGGGACCCAGACCTTGAGCTGTGTAAAGGGCACCCAAAAAAAATGGAGCTGCTTCCCGTTCTCCCAGAACATTGATTTTTGTGACCACAGTTACAAACAGCCGCCAGAGAGCCTGTTCAGACCAGTCCAGACCAGTGGAGCCAGACTGCAGCTAGAGCCCATCATCTGGTTGTAAGTAGGCAATCTAGCATATTATTCGTAGCACTAATCTCTAATTTACCTCACATTAAAGAAACACTATAGTCCCCAGAACCACTGCAGCTTAATGTAGTGGTTCTGGTGTCTGTAGCCTGTCCCTGCAGGCATTTTACTGTAAACACGGCAGCACTCCAGCACTGGCGTTAGTTAACATGGCAGATCATATGGGTGGGACATTGTGATGTCACATGGGGGGGGGCGGCAAACTTTACTTTTGCCTAGGTCGGCAAAAATCCTTGCACCGGCCCTGGCCGAGTGTCACGTGACTACCCGGCGCTCAGTCTGACACTGCGCCTGCCAGACATCCTGAGGTCCCCCTGCTATGTCAGGTAAAAGGGGGGACAAAAGGTAGAAAAATTATTGGAAGGGTTAAGGAGGGCTACTAATATGGATGGGGGGAGGGTTAGGTAGAAAAATTATTGGAAAGGGTTAGGGGGGCTACTAATAAGGATAGGGGGAGAGGGGTAGGTAGAAAAATTGGAAGGGTTTAGGGGGGCTACTAATATGGATGGGAGGGGGGGGGATGTAGAAAAAAAAATTATTGAAAGAGGTTAGGGGAGTACTAATATGAATGGAAGGGGCAGGGTGGGTTCTAATATGCATGGAAGGGGTTAGGGTGGTACTAATATGCATGGAAGGGGTAGGGGGGTTAATATGCGTGGTAGGGGTAGGTGGGGTTCTTTTGTGCATGGAAGGGGTGGGGGTGGTTCTAATATTTATGGAAGGGGTAGGTGGGGTTCTAATATAAATGGAAGGGGTAGAGACGGGTAGTAAAATGTATGGAATGCATTTCTGACAGTGTCCTTGAATGGCAGTTAGGAAATGTGGCCTAAGTCAGGGGCAGTATTACACAATCTGTATATCTATAAAAAAATATATAAAAAATAATATGTCATGCTAAAAATTAAGCTAGGAATGTGCATTTTTTTTAATAATAATTTTTAGAATAATGATACAGACATTTTATTTCTTACATTTGTGAGGATTCTTTTTTCCCTCTCTATATTCAAGGGACACTATAGTCACCAGAACCACAACAGCTAAACGTAGTAGTTCTGGTGTCTATAGCATGTCTTTGCAGGCTTTTTAATGTAAGCACTGCCATTTCCTTTAAAGGCAGTATTTACATTACTGATGAGGAATACCTCTAGTGGACACTCAGATGGCCACTAGAGGTGCTTCCTAGTCGAGACATGAATGCCACCCTATGAAGTATCTGCGCATGTGCAGCAAAGCTGCGCATGCGCACCAGAGAGCAATGACGCTTCTGAATAGAAGCGTTTTATTGCTCCCTGCTTGCACCCTCCTATTTCGTCATTTTGACGAAATAAGGGGCGCGGCCTCAGAAGGATCCCTGTGCTGTATCCGGGTAAGTAAAACCCCTTCCCTCTAGTGACCCTTTAATGTTATTTAATCATTTATATGGCGACTGCAAATTCCGTAGCGCTGTACAATGGGATAAACAACTCCTAGTTTACGGAATAAGAATATACCCGGCGAGTAAAAATGCTATCCCCCCCCAGATTTTTGGGGGTTCCTACGCCCATGATTGTATTGCAAAATCTGGGCAGTTTATTCATTAAACATCAAATAGTATCTAATTGAAATGGCAAAATTTAGGCCAAAAGGATATATGGAATAGCCCTAGTTGCAGCTTGGCTATGGTACAAGGTTATTTACCAAGTTAAGAATTGAAATAATTTAAAGTGAATTTCAAACTTTAAAAGCGAAACCTATATAGAATATAACCACTATCTGCAAGAAATAAAAAAAACCTACTAAATGGTGTACCCCTAAACACCAAACAACATAAAAACATACCCCTTTTAGGGGTGATAAGCTTATACACCTCCTTGCTCTTGTGTTTCTTCTGTTATTGAAGGTTATATTTTAATTTTGTAATATTCACTTCAAATGTGTCACATTGTTGTATGTCTTGAAATCCTACACTTTGTATGTTTCAATTTCAAACTTTAGACCAAATAGCTGAACTGGAAACATTATCAGACAGTTCTCAGTTTTGTCCTTTTAGTCTTTTCAATCTTGTTTAAAAAGAAAAAAGAAAAAATACCTGCACAATCCAAAATGTCATATTTAAATAACTGGAGTTGTTTTTTTGTATCATGCCAATGGCCATTGAAGTGTAAGCTTGTCACTTAAAGGCAAACCTCTTCACCTTGCTTCTTTGAGCAAAAAGGCAAAATCGGACAGTGCCTGTGAGCACAGACATATATGCACCAATACGGGTACCTGCGTGTACCAAACATGAGTCCGTGAAGGACATAGCAACTTACGAAAAACCTTGAATAAAATAGGATTTAAAAAAAAAAAAAAAGCAAAATCTCAGAGAGAGGGGTATTTTTCTAAACCCCTACACACTTATTAACCCTTAATAGAGAACACATGATGTTGGCAGCAGCACTGTAACATGGATGTAGAATTAGTTCTAAATGTGTTTTGATATCGGTGTGTAATACAAAGCAAACTCCCACTACTCCTGGGCAGCATGTTACAGTGAATGGTTTGCAGATAGAACACAAGTGTCATCTTGGCAGACAGTTTCAAAGGTCTGCATTGAATGAATATCTTATATGATAAATAAAAAATAATCTGTAAAACATTTTGGATCCACCAAGCGTCAGAGCTTCACAAAAATTTATTACTTTTTATTAACTTTTGCATCGGCATAAACAAAAATCTTTATCTTTTGCTCTGTAGAGCAGAAGATTCTAGGATTCCAGTCTGTTTTCTCTTGAAATCTCAATCAGTTTCTGTTTTGAAGCCTTTATGAGAATCACTACTTCAGCACTATCAGTCAGTATATTGCAGTTCTGGAGCCCTGAACACAAAATAAGAGTCTGCAAATCCCTGCCAGAGATCAATGGATACAATATGGCTTATTCAGAAGAGCAACCTTTATATGAATAACAAAATTAGCATTTTCTTTTTTTGTTTGGTAAATTAACCAATGACTTTCCTAATAAAGCTGCAGCATAGTTCAACATAACTATGTTGCAAAGCGGGTAATGCATACACTGGTGCATACAAATAAAAGGGCTAAAATGACTGTATAATAAGATTCAAATTATACCATATGGCATACCCTGCGGTGTTTACTTTTAAAAATGTAATCCATTTAGGAGGTGATTTAAACTGTGAAACTGCTACAATGCCCCAAAATGCAGAACAGGTCCATCAAATTCTTAATGTAAAAACGGAAACAGTCAGGTCTATTATGTGCACAGTATTTACTTTTGTGCTATTGATTGGAGTATAATCTGGGGTGTGTGATCACAATGAAACAGATCAGAAATAGCAAGTTAAATAATGAGCGTGGGGAAAATCAAAGGAAAATAAAATTTAAAGGACCACTATAGTGCCAGGAAAACATACTAGTTTTCCTGGCACTATAGTGCCCTGAGGGTGCCCCCACCCTCAGGATCTTCCTCCCGCCGGGTTCTAGGGGGGTGGAAGGGGTTAAACTTAACTCTTTCTCCAGCGCCGGGCGGGGAGCTCTCCTCCTCCTTAGCTGAATGCACGTCTCATTCAGCCAGTCTCATAGGAAAGCATTCACAATGCTTTCCTATGGACGCTGGCGTCTTCTCACTGTGATTTTAACAGTGAGAAACACAGAAGCGCCGCTAGCGGCTGTCAATGAGGCTGGATTAACCCTAATATAAACATCTCTGAAACTGCTATGTTTATATAAAAAAAGCGTTAAACCTAGCACCCAGACCACTTCGTTAAGCTGAAGTGGTCTGGGTGCCTATAGTGGTCCTTTTAAAAAAAAAAAAAAAAAAAACCCCCCACAAATTTCGACATATACTGGCAGAAGAAATGGCAGCACGCTAAGGCACATAATACGAGATACCCTATAATGCCCCAAAATTTGAGTTTTTATAGATGATTTGTTTGGCCTACCTAGAAATACTGAGATGGTCAGGTCTCTTACATGGTGCTGTAGCTTCACACGATAGTGACAAAAACATATATTGAAGGTATCGTTTTACTCAAGACGTAGCTGAACACAATATTGGTTTTGTACAGTACTAGCAGCACATATCAGGTTTACAAAATACTTATACACACAGAGTTTTTTTTATTTTACTAAATTACTAAGCAGAGATTGGCAGTTAAGTAGCTACATTAGTTTCAAAATACCTTTTTGAAAATGACATTTCTATTTTATATAAATATATACTTTTGTATGGCAATTTTGTTTTCTGTGACAGCTATTAAACTAATAAGACAAACATACGAAATACTTAAAAAAATAAATATATATATATATATCTAAATCTGTAGTTTTTCTGCTGACTATAGTGTCCCTTTAAATGGTTAAAAAGAAAGGCTCGTTCTGCAATAATTGCATTCCCCTCCACAAGTAGACTACAGTGTGTAATACACAGAGCTGGCTCAGTGCAGGGATTGGATTGCACCCAAGTTAACTCTCTAAAAGGAAATTAGAGTAACATATGCTGCACCTTTTGTTAAAATCTGAATTGGAAGCAAGTGGTGTCTACGGGCCTTGGAGCCAACTCACAGGTGATGTAAAACATAATAAGATAGGTGGTGAATATTACAGGTATATACACGTCAGTCTCATTTTTCCCATAAGGATGTCTCACCAGTTACTGCCACTCCGTACGTACAGGGCCACTGAGAGCAGATGCCATTTCAGGAACTAAGAGTGAAAAGTGGGATGTTGCTTATGGAAAATAAATTTTAATAAATAAATAATGGTTTGTTTTGTTATCAAAACTGAATAGCATTGAGCAATGATTAAACCACACAATATACGAGCATAAACTGTGCTGGTACCCCATTGTGTCTTGTTAAGCCTACAATATAGATTTCCATTAGTGAAGCCTGCTTATTCTGTAAGAAGTGTCCTTGGATAGCAAAGTAGCAAGCATAAATTGAGCTATTTATTTGGATGTGATTAGCAAACCGCTACCTTGTAAAAAGCTTCACCTCATATTTGAATCACTTTAGTGTATAAAATAGTTACCAGCAAAAAGTGTGTCCGTTACATGTATCAAGCACGTTTTCATAATTTTTTTCAAACGCTGGGTGACAAAATGTTCATTCATTACATACAATTTCAACTGGTATTTAAAGTCATGGAAGGATTCAAATTGGTAGTTTAAAATGAATGGTGTAGGTTTGAGTCTCATCTCCCCCTGCCCACTTTTTTTTTTTTTTTTTTAAATAAAGAGGACAAAAATACCAAGAACTTTTGGTTGGAATAAATTTAATTTCATCTGTCTGTAAACAAGGTGTTTTAATAGTTTATGGCATTTTTTTAAATGCATATTAAATCAGATGAGTTAGACTGTATCCCAGATGTAACAAAAGTGCAGGGAAAGAGATGGACAAATTAACAAGAATGTTTACATTTGTACATGATTCACAAGACCAAAAAACAGAAGCAAATACTAATTTTTTTTTTCTTCAGAAGTGCCATTTCAAAGAAACTACCCTTATGTCAGTTAAAACCCACCTCACTTGTTTGTATGGCACAGAATACATAAACTATCACAATACAGCCATATTTATTAGAAAGCCGCCCCCCACCCCCCTTTTTAAAATTCTTCAGCACACATAATTCATTATTTTCTTTTATTAAAATAGACAGTGAGTAACGTATTTTAACTGACATTCAGGTTATACACATTTCAAATAATACCAGAAACGTACTGAACCCTTTCTGCAGCAAAGGTCCGACAACTGAAATGCGATTTCATTAATGTGTGTTAATGTCTTGCAGCAGCAGAATAGAATACTACCAACCCCCCTTTAGAGCAGTAGAAATTCCAGCAGTAATGTAATTTGCAAAACTGCTCATACAAATAGATCGAATTAGACTGAAGGTGGTAGTTACAGAAAATCAGTAGAGGAGAAGCAGAAAATAATAAAACAAATAAAAATAACCCCTATACATACACACAAACTAAATGCTTGGGACATTTCAAGCTGCAGTTGGTCCTATGAGCAAATAACCTTGCCACAATTATTTTATCTCCATGGGGAAATCTGCCCACTCTCTTGATACCATTTCCATGATCCATCAGTCCTAGTCTGTGTTTGAATATTTTAGCAGTGACCCAAACATGGGCTGAACAGATTGTTAACCATCATAGTTTCCCATATTCGGAGCAAGCTATTACTACCTAGAGATTAGGAAAAAGATGGTCAAATTCATAGACTCCTTCAAAAATAAAGGAAGTTCTTTAGTATCATGTATCTGGTTTACGCTAAATGTCGACAGTTACCCCAACGTTTCAGGTTTTTGAACCTGTGGCTTACAGCTTTTGTAACAATAAAATAGTGTTTTGATGCCCTTTATTAGGAGGGGAACCAGGTGGACTCCTATTGAAACCACTGCTGCAGAGTGAAGAGGTATCGCTGGTCTGCGTTAAATTGTTCACAATATTGCAACAGAATAGTTACATTGCTAAAATTGTACGAATATGGCTAAGCATATAAAAAGAATAAAAGGTCAGTTTCTTTATCAGACTTTTCAATAAGCATAATTTAACATACGGTTTCAAAATCATTAATTCCATAACTAAAATGTGAATTCATAGATTACATGCACATTCTCCACATTGCTGATTACAGCATTGGTAGAAACCGCTCACAAGCGGCATCATCGACCAGAACATACGGACTCTAGCCCAGCTGCTGATTCCTCCACCTGTACTCACTTTTTACCCCGATATTTGTAAAAGCAGCCGTGCTGCATTGCTGGAATTAACACGCAAGTCTTAGAGTTGTGAAAGGGATTCATCATCTGTGCCTTTAAACAGAATAATTCTTGCAAATGGCTTTAACTTGTCACAATTAAAAATCATTTGGCATATAATTTAATCAGGAAAAGTAAAATACTATTTGTTATTGCACTGAAAATGCAGACAGACACAACACAAACAGAGACTTTGGTGGGTTGCTGTCTGCAATTACAGGAGGGATTGTTAAATCAGACAAAGTTAAACCAGAGATAACGAACATGGGATTGGATATTAAACATCACTTGCCATGCTTTTCTACTTGTGTTTGAGCAAAGGAAGACTAAAATGAGCTGTGTATTTACTCAAAGCACTCAAGAAGACATCAATTCAATGGTTGTATCAGTGTACTAGTTATTTTCCAGCAGTAAGCAGTCCTATTTTAATCCATTTCTCACTGCAGCATTGCTGACAGTTCCTAGACTTCTACTTACTACACTAAGTCCAGACATTATGCAAGGTTTAAAGGGTGCACATGTCACAAATAGAGCAAAGACAAAAATTACCCTATTGTAACATGGGGCTTAAAATACAAGTACCACATCTCCTAAAGCAATGTGCTCTAGATTTAGCCAAAGTGCTCCCAATAGCAGGAGAGGAAGGAGACAAATGGCTTCAGAGGGAGATATGTGGAAAATTTGACATTTTGTTTCACTACTTTCAGAGAACAATGCCATAAAATGATAAAATTATTATGGAGAGATACCCCATCATCGAAAAGGGTCTGGAATGTAGAAATACATTACCAGTCTAACCATTTATCACTTGCAGAAAGTGATCATTTTCCATTCTGGTGCTGGGTGTCTAGAGGCCAGTTTAATTAGCAATAAAATGGGAGGACATTCTATATTATTCAACAAATCGTAACCACCATCAACAGTCTGGTAGCTTTATAAACTAAGTGGCAAAGCACGAAGGGAGATGCTGCTCAGCAGTGAAGCCTGTGTGGGTATACTTAGTGGACAGAACATTTTGTTGGGCCATCCTTATGTGGATACCATCTTCCATAACAAAAAAAACAAACAAAAAAAAACACATTGCTGGAATATACAGAAAAAATTAAAACAAAAAACCTACAACTTTCCCCACCAAAACAGGGATACAAAGGAGACACAGCTTCATCCCCCATCACCCCGGGTATTGCTAATAAAGTTTCCAGTTACATTTTTATTTTGTTCAGACAGGAAAGTTTAGTAGCAATTTTTTTTTTTTTCAGGTTTTTCTTTTTTTGTTGTTGTTGTCCCCCCCCCCCTCTAGAATGTAAGTCAGTCTAACAACTAAAATCCCATATCTCTCAAGTATTTTGCCATTGCAAACGCCTTTTTATTCAAACCACCTCCATGGACTCCTTCCTTTCCCATTGCAAAGACCAAGACTGAAAGAGAAGAAAAAAAAAAGAAAGAAAAAAAGACTTAATTGTAAGAAGTCAACAATTGCAATACACATCAATAACACAGAACCATACCCCATAACACACTAAGCACCAGAACTATAGCTTATTGAAGTATTTATGGTGCATGGAGTATCAAATGTATATGAACAGTTTGATAAAAGCAAAACTTTTTTGGTACCAAAGACACACTTCCCCAAATGTGGACAGATTTGTACGGGTAATTTGTATTATTGAGCAAATGTATAACAGACCGACTTTGTGTACAAGTGCATTTGAATGAATCCTGAAAACAAACAAACACACACCTTTGGATATTTGTCCACCTTACTACCGTATATTTTATGTTCAGTGTCTGTACAATTACACAATTCACAAAAAACATTCTGTAGGAATTCAACCATATAATGGTTACTGTCAGAAGAAAAAGCTCCACCAATCAGGAGCATTTTATTCTAATCTTATACAATAAAAACAGAGAAGTTGCTCTGTCCGATCTCAAGAATATCCACAACAGCATACACAAATCGTTGACAAAGTTCTCTATTGCATTTTATCCAAATAAAAATACATAAGCAAGTGTGACAAAAATAACCAAAACACGTATTGTGAATGAATAGACAAAATCTATAAACGAAAATACCATCAACAAATAAAGGGAAACATTTTTTTTCAAAAAGACTATGTATCTGGCCTTATTACGTTTAACTTAATGTGTGTAACAGACAGCAGATTATCCCTCCCAACGTTCTGGCCTTTCTCAATTAACAAAGATCCCCTTAAATAGCATTTATTTGCCGTAAAAAAAAAAAATATATATATAAAAAAAAATAAATAAATTTTAAAAAAGCAGGAAGCATGGAGAATGTCCTCTGTCCCGGTCTACCTGCATTTTGTTACTTGTAAAAATCATTGGGCTTGAAAACTACCAGAGAAACGGCAAAAAGTGGCAGACATTGGTTACATGCCAGTGCAGAAAATTCTCCTTACTGGGATGATCGCTTTGTGCATGTCTGACAGGTTTGTGTGCATCCATAAGTTCTCAGAACTATATATAAATATCCATGACAGACACCAGAAGGTGGCAAGAACATTTTTTTATTTTTTGAGCCATGAATATTGTACATTAAACACTATGGCTGTATCACTTTCAATTATAAATAGAACTAAAATAAGTTAGGCTTTCTTCTAGTATTATTTATACGAAGCGGCTTCTTTTTCATATATTTATAGTAAAGTGACACTTTAGTTACCCAGACCACTCCATCTTATTGAAGTGGTCTCAGGAAGTGCTCCTATACCCCTTAACCCTCCAATGTTAAATACTACCATTTCAGAGAAACTGCAATGTTTACATTGCACGGTTAAGACACACTCTAGAGGATAGCAGCTAGACAGCCACTAGAGATGCTTGCTTGACTTAAATGAAGTTTGACTCCCAGAAAGGATGTTTGATAACCTCACGCTTTGCATGAAGATGTCCATGTCTTTAAAATCTAGGAGATCACCAATTCAATTATTTTCTATGAGGAAGCTCTTATGCGCATACGACACTAGCCAGGCATGTGCATTAGGCTCCCCATCAGTGTAACATCACTGGAGGAGACAGATCTAGCGCCGAGGGACCTCAGTCCTGAAACGAGATGTGTTAAAAAGGGGGGTTTTCTACCTTTGTTCAAATTGTGGGTGTTTCCCTATAGGGTTAGGAATACAGTTTTGTATTCCGAACGGTATAGTGTTCCTTTAATACCTGCAAATAGATCATATACTGCGGAGGAACATCAAGTAAAACATGCAGTCATCAATAGAATTTACTCTTTAGTACATTTAGCAGCAAATTATGTATGAAAAACCATTTTTTTTTTTTTTTTTTTTAAATAGATAAATAATTCAGAGAAGTTATACAGATCCATCTTGATCTGTATACGTTTTTATTGGAAACTGAAGTGAAACTTCTATGGCAATGATTGACAAGGAGCATCTAAATGCTATACTTCACTTTAAACAGAAAAAGGTCACTTTGTGTTTATACACACACACACACACACGTTAGTAATGCCACTATCCATATTGCAAAAACTAAATAGCCTTTGGTTTAAATAAGTAGCTGTATTTTTCCAAACAAAGGTTTGGCAGCTTTCGGAACCTTAATCCACCTCCCCGTCCCCAGTCAAACCCACCACTATTTCTAAAATATTTCCTTTCTGCTGGTTACTTTTAACTCGAATGAAGTACAACAGGTTGCTTAAGTGCTTTAGGTCTCTGGAGCCTGTCCTATATTTGAGAATTTATTAAAAGCACTGATTTAAAGAGCAATCTGCACTTCTATAAATGGTGGCAGAAACACCTCCATGGTGGTCAGCCAGCCAGTGAAGATTTCTTCCACATCTATTAGCTCCACAGAGCTAATGAAAGAGGCAGGAATGCAGGGCCAATTATTCTCACGAAGCATTGGAGATAAAATGCATGTCTGACATTTGCTGCTCTGTACCCCCAATGCTTCCCCTAGAGAAGCATCAAATTCAATTGTTCTCTATGAAGAGCATTTACTTATACTTTGTACTAGGGCACAAAGCAACCAGGAAGAGTACATTCCCGGCAAGCTAAATTTCTTTATTAGTTTCAAGAGATTGTCATATACTCTGGTAAAGGAGAGTTCCCTTTTCTCTAAAACATGTAGTGACCAATAACCGTTATATAGGTAATCAAGTACAAAAGTAGAGAAGCTGATAGAGTACTAGCCTCACAAACAGAGGCTGAGCTTTGAAATCTGTCAACCCTGTAACACCATCAGGGCCGGTGCTTGGATTTTTAGGTACATAGGTGAAGATGCATTTTTCCGCCTCCCCAAAAAATCTTCACCTATGTGCCTCTTAACCAGCCCCTCTCCCCTCCCCAACCATTAGTGGTCCCTTCCCTCTCCCTTAGTGTTCTTCTCCCCTACCCCCTTTTTTCCCTTTCTCTTGGAGTTTCTCTCCCATTCCCTTCCTGTCCCTTGGTGCACCCCACACCCCTTTAGTGGTCACACTCCGCTTCCTGGTGTGCCTCCTACCTCTATTGTTGCATTGCCGAGCGGAGGAGATTCCCTAAAGGCGCTTCAGTTTCCTGTACCCGGCCGGACTGACAGGGAGAGCTCTCTCTGTGAGCACCTCCTGTCAGTCTGGCCAGGTACAGGAAACAGAAGCTCCTGTACCGCGCTCTGCTCCACTACACTCTGTACACACTGACAGTCACACACTCAATGACAAACAAACACACAGACGTCGCTGACAGACACAGACTCATTGATCTGACACACTCATTCATTGACACTGACAGACCCACACTGATTGACACTCATTGAAAGACACACTGATAGTCACACACAGACTCAATGACCAACATACTCTCACTGATTTGACAGACACACACTCATACACTCACATGCACACACTCATACAATCACTCAGACACACTCACTCACTCACACACACGCTCAGTCACTCAGACACACACATACACACTGTCACTCACAGACACACACACAGAGTCACTCACAGACACACACACAGAGTCACTCACAGACACACACACACTGTCACTCACAGACACACACACACTGTCACTCACAGACACACACTGTCACTCACAGACACACACACACACACTGTCACTCACAGACACACATCACATACATTCACTAATTAGTTTATTAATACACATTTTCCACCCAGCCTCCCTACCTGGAGAGCTGGTGTGGATGATGGATCGGTCCCTGAGGGCTGGGGCTGCTGAGAGGCGTGCGGCAGTGCTGTGACCAGGCGCGGCGAGGGAGCTCTAATCTCCACCCTCTGCTCCCTCGCGGGCTGCCTACTGATGACGTCATATTCCGGCTCCCGCGGCATCAGTAGGCAGCGCGCGAGGGAGCAGAGGGTGGAGATTAGAGCTCCCTCGCCGCGCCTGATCACAGCACTGCCGCGCCGGGGGTCGAGATGGTGGCCTGTGCAGGAGGGAGAGCTTCCCTCCTGCCGGTCACTGAAATATTGCGCCCCCAGAGCCCGTGCGCCCTAAGGCGGCCGCCTGTGCCGCCTTATGGACGCGCCGGCCCTGAACACCATTTGGCTAGGCAGACAGTAAGGCCATGTAACATTTATGGGTCTGTAGTCTAATGAAAGGATACATTCCTAAGGTCTGCAAATAGTTAAGGGACACTGTCAGCAGCCAGAGCACTTCCTCTCATTTAAATTGCCCAAATTAAGTGCACCTGTCCCCTTAACCCTGCCGTTTCAGAGAAACTGAAATATTTACATTGCAGGATTAAGACACATTCTAGTGGCTGGGGGCACTGCCATACAGTAAAAGGTACACTGCTACGTTCGGAATACAGCTTTATTATTGCTTTAAAACATCCAATGCCCTATCTGCATGTCAGCTTGTACAATACTGGTTTAAAACCTATCCAAAAATTCAGACTCCATATATCAGAAAGAGAGGCTTCTGACAAACTGGCCAAGTCAATACCTGGCTAATAATATGTCTATGGATAGGCACAAGAAGCCAGAATTATGAAAGTAAGGGTCTTATTTAAAAAAAAAAAAAACCTTTACTTTACTTTTTTTTGCCAATTGGTGTTCCTACATGTTTTATAAAATATACTGCCTATTTCAAGTCTATGAAGATTTTGTTGGAAAGTAACTAAAAGATATACATTAACTAAACAAACAATCTTGTAATGCTCTGTCATGTCAAAGACCAAAAGGCCAGCATTTCCTATTATATAGAAAACCTGTGGCTATGTAATTGCTCTACTTTGTCTTCAATAAGACCTTTTAGAAAGAGTTACCAAATTTAACAAGTGATCTGAGTTTTAATTATATGCCCCAAACAACAATAGACAACATGACCTTTACATATTACACGTTCCAATGTAATTTTAGACTGAAACAAAGAGCTTTATTGTGCTAGGACTGGGTAAAGCAGCAGCTGCACATGCTTGAGAAGTGAGCTAGCCTACTTAAGAAATCATAGCATCCGTTTATACCTTCCTACCTGTGTAAAATGGGCGACTGTGGTGCCTTTCAATTCGCAGGGAACCTGCTCTATTCAACCTCAAAATAATGCATCTTTTTCTTTGAATACACGCTGTTGTGAAGCTACAATTGAATTACAGCCCTGGGAGAAGGCATTTTAAATTTGTACAGTCAGCTATGCTTCCAGTTCAACCGTTTAGGTCTAAAATGTGCAACCACACTTTGAAATCCAGGCAATTCAGTAAAATAATAGTAAATAAACGTGAAAGACAGAAGTTACTTTAAGTTGTACTTTCACTCACATCTTTAAATTAACTTACATAATGGAAATTCACATGTCTAGTTTTTCAATAAAAAGTAAAAAAAAAAAAAAAAAAGTTATATTCCCTGTCAATCAGTTTCTAGGTAGAGAGGGTTATTCCAACAGCACTGCATCAATGTAGATAACATAGTGAAAGTAGAGAGCAGGAGAACCCTCCTAGGTGGTTGCTCAGTAGTTGCTGTGAATATACCTCTGAGAAGCACATCTTGCTGAGTGAATATAGGAAAGGTGCGAAATTGGTCATTAAATTCAGCTTCACGTAAAGATATATTTTATAGGATAGGGGTTAAGTGCTACATTAGTGCAACACTCACAGACCAACTTGATTGGCAGTGGTGCTAGTGCAGGTATAGTTCAATTAGATTTGTTTCAGGAGAAATATACTATAGTGATAATTTAGAGAACAAGGAGAGAAAAGAGGAGGATTATATTAATAAAATATATATATATTTTTTTTTTATATTTTCTTAAAAATTCTTTAGTAGCACATGTGTGATGTCAGAAGATCCCATGACACACACCTGACATGACAAAGTTAATTAACTTCTGGCATTTACGAGTTCTAGTTAGCATTTTAAAAGGGACTCTTTAGTCATCCAAGCAACTTTAGCTCATGAAGCAGTTTTGGTGGATAGATCATGCCCCTGCAAACTCATTCCTCAATTCTCTGCCCATTTAGGAGTTATAGCGCTTTGTTTATACAGCCCTAGTCACACCTCCCTCCAAGTGACTTACACAGCCTTCTTAAACAACACTTCCTGTAAAGAGTCATCTAATGTTTACACTTTATTTCAAATTCTGTTTAATTAAGAATTTCTTATCTCCGGTCTGTGAATAGCATGCTAGATCCTGCAGGAGACTCCTATGTGTGATTAAAGTTCAATATACAAATGTCTAAAGCAGGGGTCCTCAAATTGTGGCCCTCCAGATGTTGCGGAACTACAACTCCCATGATTCTTTGAACTACATAGATAGCCAGAGAATCATGGGAGTTGTAATTCAGCAACATCTGAAGGGCCACAGTTTGAGGACCCCTGGTCTAAAGTAACATCTGATTGAAAAGCAGGGATTTATCGAGGGGAAGCTACGGAGTCCCTCTAAGCTTTTGTTCATGCTCATATTTTCTGTTTTTGTTGCAATGCATTAACTTGGCTCTCCCAAAGATTAAAATGGTAATCCAAACGTGGACCCTGTTTTCCCTGTGCTTAGAGGAGTATCGGATATACCTCGCTGACTAGGCCCAAAGAAGGCCGTAACGATTGTCTGGGGTTGCTGTATCTCTTGTGCAGAGAGAAATTGCCAGCATATTTGAAAAGAAAAAGAAAAAATATTTGAAAAGAAATTGCCAGCATTTCAGTTCTGGACTTCCCTTATGGATGAGATTAGTTCTGGTTCTCTCTGCAATGGCACAAGTGAGCAAAAACTATTTTGAGACCTGAGCGGGGATTTATGGAAAGGCAAGCTACGGAGTTCCTCTAAGCTTTTGTTCGTTCTCAGAGTTCTCATATTCTCTGTTTTTGTTAAACAGTTAATGGTTAAACACCTTGAGGTAAGACCACACCAGTGTAACCATTTAATTGTGATATATTATGATACCGAGACCTTTAATATAAAACAGTGGCAGACAGTCTGTTAACTGAAACCTTCTAAACCAATGAATATTAACCAAAAAGAAAAAAATCTAAAAGTGTCGAAAATAATAAATATTGCCCTCTACATGTTGCTTACCTCTTACAGCTCTTCCTACAGCAATGTTGTATGTTGGTTCGCCACCTTGACTCTTTGTCCTGATGTCCATTGTGAAGTCATTATCGATATACAAGCTGTCTCTGATCACAGAGCATTTCTTTCCGCCCACAGTTAAGCCATTGGTAAAAAATCCTTCTCTGTCTTTTCCTATCAGCACGTCTATTTCTGCAGGCTACAAGCAGAAGAAGAAAATACAGTTAATTGATACTTAACAACAGATGGGTATATCAACAGGTAGCCTTTAAGGACGGTAGATTTTAACCACTGGTTCAGGATACAAAAATGTATATTCCAGTATTTGGCACATCATGGTTTATTGTAACAGCACTGCTTTCCTTAGGGTAATGGAGACCCCTGGCCCCCCTCTTAACTTATTTCCAAGCAACATGCTGTATACCATATACTGTAAAGTTCCAATTGGAAGGTCCTGTTCAAAATGCCCTGCAAATGTACTTGGGCTAGCTAGTTCAAGTAGAGATTGTAGCCGTGTTAGTCTAGTGATGTAGATGTAAAAAAAAAAAAAACACAATAAAACAGATAAAATTCGTATCTTGTAATAGACTAACAGAATTTTTTAATAAACTTTCGGGAGAACCTCCCTTTCTCAAGTCTGAAGCATTTCTGAGCAAGACGACACATAGAATTCAAAGTTGAGTTGTGATACAGGGGTAAAAGTGACATGAGTGCAGATAATACACAAGTTTGATAGAAAATAGACACCATTCTCACAGAGGGTCATAAATCTATTGTGTGAAGATCACAGAGTGAGGGAGAGGAGAGAAAAAAAAGCCAAGTGCAGAAGATGGTGCGAGAAAGGGGGAGTATTAATATAAAGAATGCATGAATTCCCATCCAAATGTTACAGGATATGCATGAAGGCCTATATCCAGCATACACAGACACACTCACAGTCACGTACATATACACAAGTAGTGCATATGTACAAGTATGCAAGTACATACTACATATAAATACAACCAAATGCCCAAATATATGTACATGCACACCTACACATCCATCCACACACAATCACCAATACATGTACCTACACATACATAGACCCATATATATGTACACTTTATATACACACACACACAAATACATGCACATTAACTCATACACAAATATAAAGGCACATTTACATATATAAGCAAGCAAATACATGCAATGTTCCCTCATAATTTCTCCAGAAACAGACATATGTTCAGTTACCGTACACTTACAGGTCTTCTAAACGATGTTATGGTGTGAACTAAAACCCACCACCCCACAATAAGATTTAGATGATTTCTCACTAATCAGTGAATAAACACCTCAGCAAGTACTTGTGTGAGGATCTGTATATTCATTTACAGGGCTAGTAAAGTCACACAGGCCTCTTCATCTCCAAGAAGTGACCCGAGTGCCGTGGTCCGGTCATTTTCACTGTGCAAAGTAAAACACTGCTTTAAAAAAATAAAAAATAAAAAATATATATATATATATATAAAAAATAAATAAAAAAAAACACACACTAAAGGAAAGCATTGATTCAAACCTTTCCTATACCCACACGGTAAGCAAATCCTTTGCTTAATTTTTAACCACAAATGTGTGAGTAGTGGAGAAGTTTGCAGTAAGAGACATATAAAGAGCTAGGGGAAGGGGCACTATAGCATTTGGCTCCATAACAAGTTTGCATTCCCAGTGTTCCTTTAAATGGACACTCCACAGCCTAAATATAAACTAAAATTCACTGTTAAGTAGATATAAATACACCCCAAATGAAAACTTGCATGCATTTAATTGTGCATTTTTTCATCTGTTCAGGGATTCCCCTGGCAGGGATTCACAAAATCCTCTGAACCTACAATGCTTCCAATGAGATATTAAAGTTGAACTAACAGGACAGGAGTTTAGAACGTCTAAATAAAAAAAAATAAAAAAAACACACACACACTGTGCTGTAATATTGAACTGAAAAATGAAGCATTGGCCCTCCATGTACTGTGTGAGTCATAGCAAGGTGAGGTGTGGCCACAACTGCATAAATAAAAGCAAAAGTGATTTAACTCAAATATCAGAATTGAGACTGCAGGGGTATAATGTGACATTTGTGGTTTAAAGTTTTGATGCATAGAGCATCCCTATAACAATCATCAGACATGCAAACATTACAACACAAGATACAATTTCTCATGAAAAACACACATACACTTAAAGGGACACAATAGTCACCAGAACAACTATATCTTAAAGGGAAACTATAGTGCCAGGAAAACACTTTTTTCCTTGCGCTATAGCTTCCTCTCCCTTGCGGACCCATCTCGTGGTGCAAAATTGGTTAACAAAAAAAAAAACCTGTCACTTACCTTTGTCCCTCAGCGCTGGCTCGGGTCCGCCCTCACTCCTCCCCCACCATCAGTCGGTGGGGGAGACCCAATGCGTATGTGAGGCAATGGCCACATTAGGATTTCCCCATAGGATAATGCTTTCTTATGGTGTTTTGGATGACACTGGAAGTCTTTATGCATAGCGTGAGAACATCCAGCGTCAGTTAAAACAACCAAAAGTCACCTAACAGCTCGGAAGTCCCACTAGTGGCTGTCTGGTAGACAGCCACTAGAGGTGAAGTTAAGCATGAAAAGTAATTAATTCCAGTTTCTTAAAAGCAGCAATAATTACCTTAGCAGGATTAAGGGGCCTGGGACACTGCAGGCAGACTACTTCAATGAGCTGAGCCTATAGTGTCCCGTTAATGGGAGTGTTTACATTAATGCTTAGGAACACCTCTAGTAGCAGTCACTCAGACTGCCACCAGAGGTGCTTTCTAGGCAAGTGCTGTACAATGTGCAGCACTGACATTGAGTGTCTCCACACTGTGCATGGAGGCGCGTAACTTTCCCCATATCGATGCATTGATTCAATGAATCTCTAGGAGGAGATGTGGATTGGTGCCCGGAGGCATTTTGCCACACATGCATTATGGCCTCCCTATGCAAAAAGCATTGGATTGGCTGAGATCATCATAAAGTCAAGGAGGCAGAGCCAGTTACAACCCATGAGGCACATTATATTACAGATCACACACACTTCTATACATACACTGAACAAAATTCGAAACGCAACACACTTGTTTTTGCCCCTATTTTTGATTAACTGAACTCAAAGATCTATGTACACAAAAGACGTATTTCTCTCAACTAGTGTTCACAAATCTGTCTAAATCTGTGTTAGTGAGCACTTCTCTTTTGCCGAGATAATCCATCCACCTCACGGGTGTGGCATATCAAGATGCTGATTAGACAGCATAATTATAGCAAAGGTGTGCCTTAGGCTGGCCACAATAAAAGGCCACTCTAAAATGTGCAGTTTTACTGTAGTGGCAGGTTCCGGCAGGGGGGGGTCCAAAAACCAGTCCGTATCTGGGGTGACCACCATTTGCCTCATGCAGTGCAACACATCTCCTTGGCATAGGAGTTGATCAGGTTGTTAATTGTGACCTGTGGAATGTTGGCCAACTCCTTCAATGGTTGTGCGAAGTTGCTTGATATTGGCAGGACCTGGAACACGCTGTCGTATATGCTGATCCAGAGCATCCCAAACACGCTCAATGGGTGACATGTCCGGATTGTATACTGGCCATGCAAGAACTGGGGTGTTTTCAGCTTCTAGGAATTGTGTACAGATCCTTGCAACATGGGGCCGTGCATGATCATGCTGCAACATGACATGATGGTCGTGGATGAATGGCACAATGGGCCTCAGGATCTCGTCATGGTATCTCTTTGCATTTCAAAATGCCATCAATAAATGCACCTGTGTTCGTGGTCCATAACATACGCCTGCCCATAACATAACCCCACCATGGGCCACTATCCACAACGCTGACATCAGCAAACCACTCACCCACACAACGCCATACACTGTCTGCCACCTGCCCTGTACAGTGAAAACCGTGATTCATCCGTGAAGAGAACACCTCTCCAAAGTGCCAGACACCATAGAATATGAGCATTTGCCCACTGAAGTCGGTTACGACAACGAACTGTCAGGTCGAGACCCCGATGAGGACGACAAGCATGCAGATGAGCTTCCCTGAGACAGTTTCTGCAGAAATTATTTGGTTATGCAAACAGATTGTGGCCCCAGCTGTCCTGGGCTGGTGTGGTTACACGTGGTCTACGGTTGTGAGTCCTGTTGGATGTACTGCCAAATTCTCTGAAATGCCTCGTCACGAGCGTGGGCTATAGGCCTAGCCGAGACAGTGGGGACAGTGTGGAAGTGACAGGGTTAATGACACCAGACCCTTGGTTACCTGTTGCTAGTCCCAGCAACCACTCAATTAACCCCTGCAATCCCTTCTATACTAACCCCCTTAGTACACACTTTACTGCCACCACTAAGACTTTTAAACCCGGGCGTCTTAGGTTACCCCACACACAGGAGAATTATAGTATCACAGTTCTACTTTTACTGATCAAACACATATAGTTAACCCTTTTTGGTAACGTGTTTACCTGAGCTTTCCTCTGGAGAGTGAAGCTCATAGAGAACAGAGACACAAGCTGATTAAGTAAACATTTAATCTGACAAAAAAAGATTCACAGTGCTAAGTGCCCTCATTAATCTATCAAAACTAGTTGTTTCTCAGTGGGCAGACCCCTGGGGGGGGGGGGAAATCAGAGGGGGTTGGTCTGGCAGTTTATTGCCCACTCTATGCAGTTCCTTGTGTCCAGCTCTGGTGATGGCTCTAAGCCTGGTGCCAGATCAAAGACCACAATAAACGTCATCCCAAGGTTTACAAAAAAAAACAAAAAACAAAAACAACTCAACATATATCAACACATATCAAACACCAACTCATGCTTTTGGCATGACACCTCTGAAGACAGCTTATGGTAGAGAAATGAGCATTCAATTCACAGGCAACAGCTCTGGTGGACATTCCTGCAGTCAGCATGCCAATTGCACGCTTCCTCAAAACTTATGACATCTGTGGCATTGTGCTGTGTGATAAAACTGCACATTTTGTTGTGGCCAGCCTAAGGCACACCTTTGCAATAATCATACTGTTTAATCAGCATCTTGATATGCCACACCTGTGAGGTGGATGGATCTCGGCAAAAGAGAAGTGCTCACTAACACAGATTTAGACAGATTTGTGAACACTAGTTGAGAGAAATAGGTCTTTTGTGTACATAGAAAAAGTCTTAGATCTTTGAGTTCAGTTCATACATACATACATACATACATACACACACACACAGGGAACATGAAGCACCAAAACACATACATTTTTATGTGGTGTTTTTGGTGCTGAAACATTGTTTTTGTCTCGCGACGAACGTAAAACATTGCGGTTTCTAAAAAAATTACTATGTTTACATTTGGCTAAGAACATCCCTTTCGTGGCTGTCGGACAGTCAGTCACCAGAGGCATTTTTCTCACGACTTTAAGACAAATCATTCACAAGCTATAGTGGTCTCATTCTGCAGGCAGAAAAACAAGGTAAACAGGAGCTTTTTCTTCATATTTACCACGTTCTTGTTGCACTTTCCATGACCCAATTACTTGTTCCATCCATTGGTATAGTGGAATGTTGAATTGCACATACGAGACTCATTTGTGCATGCACAATTGAAAAATCTAGCAAAGTCAGTGTAGACGTCCCAAGACATTATTTATATAGCGCCAGCAAATTCCGTAGTACAATTAAAGGGAAACAAACAACCATGACCACTTCTGCTTTTAGAAGTGGTCATGGTGGTAGGAGTTAAGTGCAAGTATGAGATATATTAACTTTTTGAGACACCTTTGGACTGCTCGAATCGCTAGATGATGTTGGATTGAGACGTTCAAGCCACCTTGTCTGCCCCTGGATTCCAAGTAAACTTAAAACCGATTTTACTGCAAGATATGAGGGGGACCAATTTAAGAGTGGTCTATAGGCTATTTTACATAGGAAAGCTTGGTCAAACAAAATAAAAAATAAAAAAAAGAAAGAAAAGAAAAGAAGTTGGACTAACCCTTTAACTTGTCTAGCCATTTTATGTACTACTGAAAATGCATCAACCCCCAAAAAATAAAAATAAATTGCCTTTACGTACTGGAGCTTTCCATATATTTAGAACTCTGGAGACAACCCAATTTAAAAGTAAGGATGAGAAGGACAGTCTGACATGGCTGACATGGGCAAACTCTGGTACACCCCTTGAGCACACATTTTCTAGTGAGCTCCTCAATATCAACAACACCCTGCAATATCAACTTTATTACCTGGGGATGATATACCTTAGAAGGACATGAGGTTGAGCTGAGCCTGGTATTCCAACAAGTACTAGAGATACTGCATGAAGCCATCTCACTGACTTTCTAGCAAGATTCACAGGTCAGTTTTGTTTTACATTGTATTCTTATAGATCAGTCCTAGAGCAAGAGGTAGCACCCTTCAGCACTCCAGATGTTGTGGAGTACATCTCCCATTAGGATTAGCCAGCATCATAGCTGTAAGAGCTTGATGGGAGATGTAGTCCACACCATCAGAAGTGCCGAAGATTGCCTATCCCTGTCTTAGAGTATGCAGTATCTTCTAATATGCAAATAAACAGAACTAAAACAATTGCAGAGAACAGATTTTGCCTTCAAGTAACTACTCTAAAATTACCTTCCTGCATAAAAACCAAAAATGTAGATGTATAAAACAAGCCCCAATTACTTAATTGTTGGGCAATACATACATGACCACTTTACTTAGAAAGCTCACACACACACCACTCCGTATGTCTCAGATATGGATACTGTTGGAACCAAAGTTTGTGGATACTACTTAATTGAAGTTTGACCTCCTTTCAGCTGGTAGATCAAGCATATCATGCATGTTTATGTGAGGAAGAGTAATTTTATGGCAAGACAGGCGGCTTCATATTAGCTTTAACCATCTTTACTGAACCTCCCAGCAGCAAAGAAATAGTTAAAGATATAGAAAAAAAATAAATAAATAATAAAAAAAAAAAAAATCAACCAATCAGGACACATTAGAGCATAACGGTCTGTCAGGCTCCTCCCAAATCCTCTTTCTTTGCTGCTTGCCTTCCAGGTGAGTCTATTCCAATTATAGCTCTCTAATATATATTGACCTGCCTTATTTTGTTTTTTCCATAGATTTTTTTTGACTCCTTTAATTAACTTTCCCTGTCTGTTTTACTCCCATGAGGTAATGTGTGTGTTTATTTTATCTCTGCCCTTTATAACATCGATCTTTCTCAGGTCAGCCCACTGTCCAGTCCCTTCCCTGTGACTTTATTTATCTCTGACTAGTTTTTTTCTAAAGTAAAACCTTACTAATCATCACCGTTTTGATGACGCCCGCGATCTATTTCTGTACCGCCCATTTTTTCGCGTCATTGATTGACATGCAGTTCCTGTCGGCGGCCATCTTCTGTTCGGCGGTTAGATTTCCCGTTTGCGCGCTTTTCAGGAACTGCTCTCCGCTACTGGATTGCAGCTCTGTTAAACTGTGAGTATTCATTGCCCCCTGCTGGTACATTTTGTGGTTACTGTTAAAAGGACCACTATAGGCACCCAGACCACTTCAGCTTAATGAAGTGGTCTGGGTGCCAGGTCCAGCTGGGGTTAACCTTTTTTTCTATCAACATAGCAGTTTCAGAGAAACTGTTTATATTAGGGTTAATCCAGCCTCTAGTGGCTGTCTCATTGACAGCCGCTAGAGGCGCTTGCGTGCTTCTCACTGTGAAAATCAGTGAGGAGATGCCAGCGTCCATAGGAAAGCATTGTGAATGCTTTCCTATGAGACTGGTTGAATGCGCGCGCGGCTCTTGCTGTGCATGCGCATTCAGCCGAGGAGAAGAGCTCCCCGTCCGGCGCTGGAGAAAGAGGTAAGTTTAACCACTTCCTCCCCCTAGAGCTCGGCGGGAGGGGGACCCTGAGGGTGGGGGCACCCTCAGGGCACTATAGTGGTCCTTTAAACAATTACAGAACACTTGCTTATCATAGCCTATTTGTTTTTTTTGTTTTTTCAGATTGCCCTCAAACTATACAAAACAGCTCCATGCCTATTAGAGGGTGACCCCCTCTTGCCTCATCTCCGGGTGAACCCCTTATATTTTTATTGATTACACAGGTTACCCCTGTCATTATTATATTGACAGTTTAACTGCCATAACTGTGGATGAACCCCACTGAGTCCCCTTAAAAGGGGATATTGTCTGGGTGAACCCCAATAAGAAAGCACCTGCTTTTGCTTTGTTTGTGACTAGTTTGTTTAATATATATATATATATATATATATATATATATATATATATATATATATATATATATATATATATATATATATATATATATATATATATATATATATATATATATTAATATTAGATAGCACTCCTCGGTCTTTCTTGTAAGTAAAAAAATAGCTTTTATTGCTCCAAATTAAAAGATCAACATTTCGGTCTGCTGCTGCAAACTTTCATCAGGACAGCAGCAGCAGACTGAAACGTTGATCTTTTAATTTGGAGCAATAAAAGCTATTTTTTACTTACAAGAAAGACCGAGGAGTGCTACTTTACCTTTCTATGTTTTTGCGGATTAGCACCAGGCCAGCAGTGTAATACGCAGTGAGTGCAACAAAATTTGTGATACACAAAAAAAGATACGCCAAAATTTGGAACATCCGCCAGGCCGCCCAATTGTGTCTGCAAAGGAGGGACTGTTGGAGCAGATTGCGCAATATATTGATCACTATATTAACAACATTGTGAGAAAACTCTCCACATGCCTACTGGATACGCAACACTTTATCAGTCAGATACAGAATGTAGATCTTGCTGATAAAGAGATTATTCTGGCTACAATGGATGTCCAAAGCCTCTATACAATAATACCAAAAAAGGAAGCCATTGAGGCAATAACTGAAATTTTGATAAATGATGACATGTATAATGGCCCACACATCCCATATCTGATGGAATGGTTGGATATTGCTTTAACCTGTAATTACTTTAAATTTGAAGATCAATTCTATTTACAAATTTCTGGCACTGCCATGGGTGCAGCCATGGCACCAGCTTACACCAATTGTTTTATGTACTGGTTTGAGAACAAACATATTCTACCTGAATTCCAACAACACATAATTAAATATCTTAGGTATGTGGACGACATTTTCATGATCTGGGAGGGAACAATAACCGACCTTGAAGAGATGGTTAACTATATTAATTCCTTACCAATTCCAGTAGTTTTGACACTTAACTGGCATAACACCAGGATTTAATTTTTGGATGTTACTGTATATAGGGAAGAGAATCATTTAGGTTTCACCTTATTTCGAAAAATTACTGATCGCAATACTTTACTGTCAGCTACTAGCTTTCATCCTCAACACATTAAAGACTCCCTGCCTATCTCACAATTTCAAAGAGTTATGAGATATAACAGCAATATGGTTAAACGTGACCAGCAACTCCAAGAGGTTTGGGACCGTTTTCTGGCAAGAGGTTTACATCCTCGGATTCTTGATATTGCAAGAAAGAAAGCTTGGAATAAATTTAACCAAACCCACAAAACGGATTCTAATATCAAGAAGAGTATTTTCCTTCCCCTTACATTTAATACAGCCATGCTACAGATTAAAAAGTCCATACATAAACACTGGAATATCTTTCAGAGTGATCAGAACCTCCCCAATAGGTTTAAATTGTGTCCAATTATTAGCTATAGACGCAACCGTAATCTGCAAGACCTGCTGGTAAAAAATGATCCACGGCATGGTTGTGCCAAATTGTCCAAAATCAAGAAAAAAGGCTGTTACAAATGCAGTGGATGCGTTACATGTAGCCATATGCTGACAGGACCCACATTCGCCCACCCACACAGTGGGAAAAGATTTCCGATTAAAACATTATATTTCATGTATGACAACACATGTTATCTACATGATTATATGTCCATGTGGACTTGCATATGTCGGTAAGACCGACATGACGTTGAGGGATCGAATTAGAGGACATCGATCTTGAATTGTAACCACATTTAGAGATCAAAGAACCGATAAACCGGTCGCTAAACATTTTCTTGCAATGCAACATCATCTGCCTACTCTCCGTTTCATAGCCATTGATCACGTACCTGCTCAACCGCGAGGAGGTGATAGATCCAAATTACTGCTACAGCGTGAAGCTTACTGGATCTACCATTTGAATACAGTGACTCCCAAAGGACTTAATGAAAATTTAGTCCTATCGATGTTTCTTTAACCATTGAGTTTGGTTTTCTAATTTTGTATTTTTTATAGGGCGTGTTTATATTATGCCTAGTGATTATTATTTATATTGTCTGAATATACACAGCGATGTCTTGGCTAAACTCTTTTCTGGTTCCTCTTTTCTTTATATATTATAGATTATGCGAGAATTTAACAAAGCGGAATCAGTAAAATCCTGAATGATATTTAATGCTATAGGCTTTGCCTCCAGTGTAATTAGATTATAAGGAAATGATATATAGTAGTACTTTATGATTTAGATGCTTTATTGTTAATCTAGGGAATTATACTTAATACTTAGTATTTCATTATTAAGCCTGTGATGTCTTACTCCTCTAACCTATAGTATATACACAGAACTTCTACACCCCTTTTTTTCACATAGTTGCACGATACGTGTATCTTAGTTGCACTATATATCAGGACTGCACCTAGGTCACTTGGCACGGTTGGTGAGTAGTTTGATCTGATATACACAGGGTTATGTTGGAGATATTTGTTCCTCCATCTGTTATACCCGGTTTAGGTTTTTAATGACCTCAGTTAGTATTCAGCTTTGTGTGTTTATTTATTTGTGTAAGCTGGGTTGCTTAGCAACCCCGTTACTTACGTCACACGAACGTTTCTCACGTGGCTCGTTCACTTCCGGGTTCCTCAGTCTGCCGGCTGTCCGATCACTCTATTGGTAAGCTTATTTTATAATTACCTATATATTGAAATTGTTGTGTTTGTGTCACTGATCTTGATAAAGACCCCAGGCGGGTCGAAACGTCGATTTTTGTGCTTGCCACAGATTCATGTATTTTTGATACATTAAATAATTTTGTCTCACTATACTGAAGACCTAGTGTGCTCCCTTTATTTTGTTTTTTGATATATGCAACACGGGATTGCACCTAGGCATTTACATATTTTCTATAGGTTTGTAAAGGAGGAGTGCCTTGCTTATTTATTTTTATTTTTTATATATTAAAAAAAAAAAAAAAAAAAAAGTTTAAAATACCTGTTGGTATACTGATTCTGTGGTGAACCCACTACTATTTTACTGGTCATCATGTCGGACCAACCAGAACCTGCAATGTCAGCAGAATTAAAAGCCTGGCTTCAAGCTGCAATTGCAGACTCTATCCCCAAAGCTTTGGCAACGTTTCGGGACCAGACAGCCACTACTGCCACCATCACGCACTTGTCAGACTCTGATTCCAGGGTCTCTGACCATGATGACGAAGCCCCACGTAAGCGCCCTTGGAAGGGTAACAGTGCTTTTGCTGGCAAAAGATAAAACCCCAGCAAAGACAGCTAAATTGTCTCATGCCAAACCCACTTTTACTTCAGAATCTGATCCCTTAAAGGGTTCAACCTCTGGCTATCACCTACAAGTGATAGACAAATACAATGCATATCCAGGTGAGGATCTCCCAGGTGACCCTTCCTCTTCTGAATTTGTTACGGAGACCCGAAAACCAGTCCTTTCAGGACACTGATCCTATGTCCACTACTAATTTAGATAATAAAGGACGATATCCTACTGGATACCAATGGCTGTCCTCTATTTGCCCCACGCTGCATCAGACACCCTCATTCAGCGGAATGGACACCCCCTGATCACATTGCCAAATATTGCAGATTATGGCTTTGTAAACCTTTAGGAAAGGAGATTAGAGCCAAATTAAGAGCGGAATGTCCACTGCCTATAATCCCTGATAAGGTGGCTGTCACCCCTGAACTTTACCCACTCCTGGTCACGTTTCTGACTAAGATGGGTAAAGATCCCTGCAAAGGAATCGAAGTTGGCTTAAAAGCCACCCAGGACAAGCTGATGGATATAGCAGGCCCGCTTATCCAGATTTTTATAAAAATCGCTGACGAGACGCTAGCAGGTGGCAATTTTGACGCACACATGGTGCGTGAATGGGCACAAAGAGTGTTATGCCTGTAGGGCAACGCCAATGTAGCTATTTCCGTTGAACGGCGTAAAGCAGTATCATATAAAATTGACGCCAAATTGGCAGAACTAGGCACCAAAGAACTTGGTCCAGAGGCTAACAGACTTATTTGGGGACAGGTTCATACGGGACCTGAATAAAACACGTATCCGTGTTTACCTCCCTCAACAAGGCACAATGGAACCTTCGCAGGGTGTTCAGACCCCAGCGTTTTTCCGGGAGAGCTGGTCACTTCAGGGGCCGAACGACTGGCAGAGCTGCCTTCACAGGCTACAGGCCTTAACCAGCAGACTCATGGAATTCGGGCAATACCCGTTTCTACCACAAGCAGTTCTTTCCCTCTAGACGTTCCATCAGAGGACGTGGATATGCTTCCCTCCGGGGCCGCACTGCTTCAGTTAATAGACTTTGCTTATTCTCAAGTTCCTATTCCCGTTTGGACTTGAAAGATGCTTACCTCACGGTTCCTATAACACCGGCCCATCGCTGTTTCCTACAGTTCAGATGGCATCAATACTTATGGCAGTTCACATGCCTCCCCTTTGGACTCTGTTCCACACCTTGGTGTTTCACAGAAACCGGTCATGGCCTTGCTATGCTCTCAGGGGATTCGCTCCATCATATATCTGGAAGATCTCCTCCTTATGGCTCAGGACCCAGGCACTCTACGCCTCCATACAGACATGACCACAGCTCGGTTACAAAACTTGGGGTTCGTGATCAATGCCCAAAAATCAGTCCAAACCCCGTCTCAAATGGTTCAATTCCTCGGATTCCAAATAGATTCCGTTTTGGCTATCCTACAACTCCCTTCAGTAAAGATCAAGAACATCAAAAAAAATACATCATAAAAATTCTAGCCTCTTCGACTATCAGTCTTCGCGACTTAGCTCGCATAATCTCCGCCTCGATACAGGCGATCTTCGCAGCTCCTTACCTCTCAGCCTGGCTAGCTTGGCATCGCTGGTGTTTGGAAAGGAGTACTGATCCAGTTTCAGCTTCTTTGATTAACGTTATGAATTTTCTGTCCGCTCTTTTTGATCAAGGTAAATCCTACAGATCCATTAATGTGTTTCGTTCAGCAAATTCGGCAGCTCACGGCCCCATTGACAATACAGCAATAGGTAAACACCCCTCAATTTGTAGACTGTTGCGTGGCATTTGTCTTGCTCGACCTCCTGTCCCAAAATATTCAAATTTTTTGGGATGTTGGTCTTGATTTGTCCTTCCTTGAGGCTTGGCCACCCAACGAAGCACTCTCTCTATGACAACTGTCGGCCAAATTAGCTTCTTCTTTTCTGCTTAGTTTATTTTAGAGGAGTGTCGGATATTGAGGCATTTGACTTTCACGCTATTGATGTCACCCACCAAGGTGTACGTTTCAACATTTCTTGCCGCACTAAAACTAATTCCTTAACGATTACTTACCCTTGCTTTTCTGACAGACCGTCTCTCTGCGTTGCTCGTTGTGTCCAACACTACGTCGCCTCTACATCACCTCTACGGGCCCCCTGTTTATCTCAGATGTGCGACCACACAAGCCAGTGTCTTGTCCCATGATTGCCCACTGGATTAAATGGCTTCTCAATCTGGCGGGCATAGTTTCCTCTTTTGGAGCTCATTCTGTCAGAGGTGCTGCCGCCTCTTCCGCCTTTATGGCTGGGGGATCCCTTGCAGACATCCTATCATGCGCGGATTGGTCTAGAGAATCTACCTTCCGTACCTTTTATTTTCGACAATCGTCCCATGCTTCTCTCTCTCTTTGGTTTCAACATAAAATTCTGTATTATTCTAGCTTTAGTGACTGAATAATCTAAATTTTATTAAAGACAGGAGGCAAATATTTTCCCACCCTATTGGTATCCCACCCCAGATTTTTTTTCTGGTCACATATACTCTTAATTTTTTCTAGGTTTCTTGTGCGACTTTATAGTAATCTGTCTGTTTTCCGTTTGCTCTGGTTAGGTGCTTATTAATCTACCTGGTTCTGACTATTTCAGATTTTGTAATATCGATGGGGTAGATCTGTGTATGTAGATATCTTGCAGACACCCAGTCCAAGTTACCATACTTTCACGATCTTTCTCTGTCTTTTTAGTGTGAAGTTTCTCTGCATGAGCCACGAAGACTATGTTCCATTGGTCTCTAGTATGCGTTCTGGTTTACATGGTTGATTGATCACTCAAGTTTTACATGGTTGACTACACTTATGATTGGCTGCATCAGAAAGAGGATTTGGGAGTAGCCTGACAGACTGTTATGCTCTATATGTGTCCTGACTGGTTGATTTTTTTTCTCTATATGTTTTACTATTTCTTTGCTGCTGGGAGGTTCAGTAAAGAAGGTTAAAGCAAATATTCACCTCCTGTCTTTAATAAAATTTAGATTATTCAGTCACTAAAGCTAGAATAATCCCGAATTCTCAAACCATGCTTCATGGTAAGATTGCTCCCTCTAATTGTGTGCATCACATTACACATCCTGATTTTTATATTTATACAAAAAAACAAGATGCATTAATTACTCCATTTAACTGTGGAACTTTTTTTGTTGTTACTGGAAACACTCTTTTTGTTGCAATATTTTACAAGAAGGAAAAAATAGAAATAGATTAGTAATACATGAGTAATATTGTGAAGTAGTGCTTCTAGAGGTAGACAGCCTTTGGCACTCCAGATGTTGTGGACTACATCACCCACAATGCTCTAACACCCATAGTGCTGGCAAAGCATCATGTCGAAGTGTCGTCCAAAACATCTAGAGTACCAAAGGTTGCCTATGGCTATGCCTAGATTATAAACGTGTCCAAGAAGGGCCTTCGTTAACTCATCTGTCAATATTATTTTGGATGCCAATTTCTTGACAAATAGCCCCATTCTATAGTAGTACAGCCCTGCTGAAAATGTTGCACAATAGTATACAAATGTTGGAACTTTTTTAAAACATAATTTAACAATAATATTTTAGAATGTTACCAGGAAAGGAACACTCTAAAACAAATAAAGTTATCTTGTGTAATGGGCTCGTGCACCAGCACTTTTATAAGTTAGTGATTAAACCTCTTCCCGTCTGTCAGAAAGTCAGATAGGTATTCTTTGCTTCCATTATCTCCAATAAGCAGCAGACTGTCAGCCAGAGGACATCTGCTAATAATGAGCTGTACTACAGCCATGTGTAAACATTGAGAAACAAGGGTTTCTCAATGAGATTTTTAGTTGTGCCAGGGACGAGAGCTTGCAGTTGCCGCAGTTACAAGACACGAAGCTATTGCCTGCTAGTGTTCCATATAGCCTAAATGAGAAAATATGCATCTTTCCAGGTGATAGAATACACACAATAGGGTTTAAAATCTGAAGTTCTATGCTACCAGTCAGACCTTAAAAGTTACTCGCCACTGCATACTCACCACCTGTAAACTTTTACTTTCCAAAGGTTAATGGACACTACAAATTTTGCAATGGAGTGTTCCTTTAGACACGGTTTGTGTCATGGTGTGTGAGCGCTGTACTTTCAGCATTTGCAGACCTCATATGATCAATCAGCAATTCCAGCGTACTCAGTTTCAGCATGCACTCAGACACAGCGAGTCCCGGAACAGAGAGAAATAACAGAGATTGGAGTCTGAGGCATGTGCTCCATGTATTGGTACCTGATAAAGTTTATTACTGATTTGGCACAGACAGCCAGCTCCCACACCCACACCATGTACAGTCAGCAAATAACACATATTACACCTAGCCAAAACACACACTATGTGGGAAGACAGAGGGTGGAACACTAAACTCAATTTCTGCACATTAAATCCTAAAAAAAAAAATTATATCTTGTAGTGACTTCAGCAGAGTTGGAGTAGTTTTCTAGATCAGCTATTTTGGCCTCAGATTTTGCTTTCTGATTTATTTAGTGAATAAAATACACAGGTCTAAGCAGAGCTTGAGTGGTTCGGCATTCCCTATTGTCCGGTGAGGCTTCAGCCATCTCCCTGCTCTGCTCCATAGAACGTTGTTTAGTGATGCCGGGTCAGGAATGACATATTCGGGCTCCTGGCATCACTAGAGTGTGCACGAGGGAGCAGAGCAGGGAGGTTACAGCTCCTTCGCGCACCTGCCCATTTGGCTCAATCTTCCAGAAGCCTCCCGCCTCTCTCAGCTGGCCGGTGCGGCCGACCGCATACACTGCCATCCGCTCCCTCAGCAGGCTGACAGATTGCATGGCCATGCTCTTCCTGAGCTGACCGTCAGACCGCTCGTAAGCCCATGCTCTTTATGAGCCGGCCGTCCGCCTGCACTCATAGGCAACCAACCACCTTGGGGGCTAAATGGCCCAGCAAATCCCAGTAGCCATGGCAACCTGGTATTTGTCGAGCCCTGTCCTGACCCTATAGTGTTAAAACCCACCATCTAGCCCCCCCTGGCTCTCCCTAAATATAGTAAAATCTTACTTGTATTCAAGTACACAGCTGCTGGCTCTGCCCAGTCTTCCTCTGGCCTGCCTTCTGTCTGCTGACATCATCAGTAGTGGTGGTCTGAGCCAATTACAACGCTTCCCCATAGGATTGTCCGAGACTGTCAAGGGGGCAGATCCAGCACATGTCAAACACAGCCCTGGCCAATCAGCATATCCTCATTAGAGATTAATTGAAGCAATGAATCTCTATGAGGAAAGTTCAGTGTCTGCATGCAGAGGGTGGAGACACTGAATGGCAGTGCTGCTTACTCTGCAGCACTGCCAAAGGAAACCCCTCTAGCAGCCATCTAAGGAGTGGAGTTTTCACTATGCTATAATGTAAGCACTGCATTTTCTCTGAAAAGACAGTGTTTACTGCAAGAAGCCTGAAGGGAATGATTCTACTCACCAGAACAAATACAATAAGCAGTAGTTGTTCTGGTGAACCTATAATGTTCCTTTAACTTGTGTCTGTAGATAACTAACTTTTTCCCAGAAAAAAAAAAACACAAAAAAAAACAACACACACACACACACACACTTCAGAAAAATACTGTATAACCATGGCTATTTCTGCAAATCTATGTATACACAATGAGCGGCTTACTTTAAAACATGGCTACTCCACAGCCAGAACAACTTGAGTAATCTTAAGTGGTTATGGTGCCTATATGCTGTGCAGCTATAAAAATATGAAACTCTGCATAGATATTTTATACTGAACTCCACCTCTAACAGCATCATAATTGGATGGTTATGTCAGTTGGGATACGTACATTCTGTGCATATTCGTTGGACAGAGCCATTTATTGGCTGAGAGCATTCAGCCGACACTTTCGGCCAATGAATGATCAGCAGGATTGGCATACCAAGCCAGATGTGCATCACCCAGCTTTGGAGACTATATTTTTAAATGACTTATTTAACCACTACAGTTAATAAGCATAAATGTTTAAGCAAATACATGAATGTGTGTGCCATATATAATTTCAGTAAAATAAAATGAAATATAAATTCTCCAAAATAGATGTGATCAACTTATTAAACTTGAGACAATGCATATTGCAATAATTTTATCACCTATTTATTTCCGGACGTATATAACAAAATCAGTTCTGATCACACATTTTCTGTGGAACTCCCTTCCCTTCTCCTTTAGACTGTCACCCAGTCTTTATTCTTTCAAATAAATAAATAAATTAAAAAAATCTTTGAAAACTCACTTCAGGAAAGCATATCAATTAAACTGTTAACAGGTTTTCACCCCCCTGCCCCCCATGATTCTTTTCCTGCAACTGTCAAAAATAACCTACTAAGTTCTCAGTGAATACTTTTCTAGCAACCCATTTCATTACCCCTACTTATACCCTTTGTGTCACAATACCCCACACTCCTAGCATGTAAGCTCATTGAGCAGGGCCCTCAATCCTTCTGTTCCTATGTAACCAGACAACTGGACGCAATTACACGTCTGTTAGTCCACCCATTGTACAACACTAAGGAATTTGCTGGTGCTATATAATAAAATAAGAATAATTACTCATATGGACTATAAGGCTTTTAGTGCCTAAATCTGCAACTTCTAAACCAAACAAATCTTAAAAATAACCATTTCTAGCTAACCTTTGCTTTTAATTGGTCCTATTGGCCACATACTCAAAAGTGGCTCTATGACCTCAAACTTACATACTCCTATTGTTTCCTCTTCCCCTTTCAAAATATGTTCTTTGCTTATCTTAGAAAATTAAATATCTGTAAATAAATAAAAAAAATACCTATCATTTGATGTTTTTTTTTCTAAAACATTTTTTCAGCCCCCAAAAAATGCCAAATAAAAATCCATAATTTTCGCTGAACTTATAAAATAAACCCAAGCAAAAAAACAAAAAAACAAACAAAAAAAAAAAGTCTGCAATTTGACTCAGAGCACTGATTGGTTGGTTTAAGCCAAACAATAAAAAAAAAAATATATATATAACCAAAACAAACCCACAGACGGTCAAACAGCTACTTGAGGACTACAGGCATACCCCACTTTAAGGTACACACTGGGACCAGAGCGTGTATGTAAAACAAAAATGTACTTAAAATGAAGCAACACCTTTTTTTTTTCCAGATTGTACCATTTATCTTTAAAGTTTTACTCATTTGACAACCTTAAACTGGGAGGAAAATTAAAAGAAACCTGCCCACTGTGCCATTTTCTGCCAATTTGTATTTATTAGCAGCTTAGTTGCACACTTTGTTTATAAACACCTCTTCATCACTTTAAGCATTTATGTTTTAACTTTGAATCCGTAGAATTGTGGCTAATGCAGCTAAGCTGATAAGTCATAGTTATAGAAAATGGTAGGGTAAACCCTTTCACTGGATAGCAGCCGATTGAAGACTATGGACAATGTAGGGGCAGGAAAAAAAAAAAAATCCCCCCCGTAATATCGGTATTGGCCAATTTAGATACCGATAATACCTCCTAGGACCGCTGGGCCATTACAAGCCCGGCGGTCCTGAGGGGGCCCGCAAGAAGCACTCACTTACCTTCCCAGGAGCTCCCTGTCTAAATCTTGCGAGACCCGTGGCCGCAGAGCGTTGCCACGGGTTACCATGGCAACGCTCCGCGCGGCACTAAGGGCTGCGAGAGTTAGACAGGGAGCTGCTGGGAAGGTAACAGCTTCCTGCGGGCCCCCCTGTACTTAACAAGCCACCGGACCACCAGGGAATACTATACTAAAAAAATACAAAAATTTAAATATTAAACTAAAAAAATGCCTCTCTCATTTTACACAAATCACAATACACACACACACTACACAAACACACTCACTCTGCATTCACTATACACACACACTACACAAACACACTCACTCTCTATAGTTCACAGATTATCAGTATCAGCTTAAAAAAAAAAAAATATATATATATATATATACACACCTCAATATCGGTCGATCCCTAGGAGTAGACATTATAAATTTGAGACGATTAACTTGTGCCATGTCAAAAGAAGGTGTGGAAAGTTCTTGCCCAAAAGACACTGAACTGAGCTGCTCTGGCCGAGAATAGAACCTCCCATTTCCTGTTCACTCACGGGAATGTCTGTACTCGCGCATGTACTTAAAGTGGGTGTATATAAAGCAGGGTATGCCTGTAGAGTGTCAGGAATACATGTTTGTATTCCCTACCCTGTAGTGTCCTTTAAGTCAGGGCTCGACAAATACCAGATGTCAGGTCGCCCTGGCGACTAGGAATTCTGTCCTGGCGCATGCGTTTTTTCAGCCTGTTCCCGTGGAGGCAGGGAGTGCGGTGCAGAGACAGCTATAATCTTCCTGCTCGGATTCCTTGCACGCCCACCAGAAATGTCCAGAGCCGGAATATGACGTCACTCCAGTCCCGGCATAACTAAACAGCACGCGAGGGATCAGAGCAAGCTTTAAGGACAGCAACCCCGCTGGATCAGAACAAAGGCTGGTCCACTCCAGCTCTCCCAAAGGTAGGGAAATTGGGTGGAACTGAAACAAATAACCTGTGAGAGAATGTGTGTGCACAAGTCTTTCAGTGAGTGTGCTCGTTTAGGTGACTGGCCCCCATGGGAATGGTGTTTTTATGGACCTTTTTCCCACACCGTGTCGGTCTTGCAGCGGCTATCCTCGCCTCCATGGTCAAGATGAGCAAGGTTTAGGCCAATCAAATGCTTTCCCATAGGAAACCATTGGGAGGTTATGACACATGCGCTTAAAAAAAAATATTATATATATATATATATATATATATATATATATATATATATATATATATATATATATATATATATATATATACACACACACACATATTATATATGTATACACACACACATATTATTTCAGGTGAGTGCAGCCAACCCCCCTTGTTTCATATGTATATATTTGGGAGTCTAGCCAACTCCTTGGTTTTGCACCCCTCCCTGTCACAGGTGCCTCATCCCAGGGCCCTATTTAGCCTTGAACTGCAGAGAGCCCCAGATGGCTTTTTTTTCCTCAAGTAAGTGGTTAATCTCATAAGAGCAGACATTAGGCTGTTAGTGTAGGACCTGCCAAAGATGGGGTACATTGACGTTGTGGCAGGCTTATGCAATGTATGATCATATAATGTAACTAAACCCCCATTATTTTTGCCTAGATTAGGTGTTTTTTAAAAAAACAAATAAAATCTTTCAACATTGAAGTTGCTGTTTAGTGGATAGGTGAGTGCGCTGGATCTTGTGTATTGTGTGTATATATATATATATATATATATATATATATATATATATATATATATATATATATATATATATATATATATATATATATATATATATATAAATTCAAATTTTACACATTTTTGAATTCTAAACTTTTGCCTTAGAAAGTTTTAAATTCAAAACAATAGTACTAAAGATAACATCTGAGAATCATTACCAAGTTTCTGATTATTTTAATGTGTTATTAGACCGCAGTGTTTATTTTTCTTAATTGAAAATTTTATTCTTCGACCTCACTAATACCTACTCACTAAATAAATCAATTATTTAAAACAATAACATTCTGGAGACAAAAAAATAAAAAATAAAAAGTTGATAAGTGTTTTACTCAATAGTGCTATTTGCAGAAACGTCTGTGCTGCTTGGGAAAGACGTTTAGCTGGTGATAGTCGTAATTATGGGAGAGTGATGGAATATAAACGAATGATCTAAGTGCAGAAAATGTACTAGACAGATGGCTCAAAGACCAGTCTGCGATTGTCAAGATGGAAATCGCAGGTCCTAACACGATTGTTAGGTAGGTATAGTGTGTATAATGCCTAATGATAAAGACACAGTTCTACATATATAGTAATGGAGCCTGCAAGCGTATAAATGCTGTATACTATCAAAAGTTTTCCCAAGCAGCACAGACGTGTGCGGTCGCTTACTTCTATACCATTTAAGACATTAGAGTCTATTCAAGTTAATTAACATTGTATCGTTTTTGTTTTTAGTGGATTTTTTGTTATAGCACTTTTGGGTTATTGTTATTTTATATTCTTTTCGATACTATTCAGTATACCATAAATTCTTTTTTGACCTTTTTACTCGTGCCTTTTATCTTCATATTCCTTCTGGTTATTATGTAGTATAGGCATACGCTATTTCCTCCCAGTTTGCAGGTACATTACTCTCTCGTTTACTGCTTATTTCCACTAGGGGTTACCCCCCTGTACTTCAGTGTACCTTTTTTGGCTGTATCCAGTTAGTTTTGTATTCCTTACATGTAGCTATGGTATTACGTTGTTCAGATTCTCACTTGCCCCTAGATAGCTACTGGATAGTGGAAATGCAGCCCTGGAGAGTGTGCCATTGAACACCACACTTATCACAGCGTGATTGGAAAAACATTTTATTTTACAAGTGGCTGCACAGCGGATTTCAACTGCAATGAGGAGTGGGGTTAACCGCATTCCCACAGATAGGCAAACCCCAAAATAATGGAGTTTAAAGCCTGTGCTTTCATTTTGGTGCAAGCAGGCGTATAGCACTGTTCACACCGGGGAGACCCATTAATCAAGTACAATGGCCATATTTAGTGGCCCCAAACTAAGCGATGAGTTGTACACGGTGCTCAAAGTAAACACTGCATATAGCCCTTTAAATCACTGCGGCTGAACAATCGCGTTCTGCCAAGAAGATTATATGGGAATTCTGAAGGATTCTGGGCTTGCCCCAGACAGAAGGACACCCCCCAGGTTGCCTTACATGCCTTCCTACGACAGTGATCAGCACTGTGCCATCTTCCCAGGACTGATCACATAGATATCGGCAGCGACGGCATGCAGGAGCTGAAGCACAAGAGGGAGGTTTTGCTCTCATGCTGCAATCATACAGAGCTCTAAGGTTATAGTAAGGGGCTCTGGGATAACATTTTTAGTGATAGGGCCAGATGACAGGCGGAAATTCTTATTAGAGGCCACTGCCATGTGAGTGCAATGAAATTGTAGTGTTGCAAGTACATAAATTCTACACACAACATACACTTACATATTCACACACTAACACGCCACATAAAATTCCAAGATCCTCCAAGTTTGTAATTGTCTCCTTTATAATTAAATTTCCCCCTTTATAATATTGTTCAGTACTGCAGAATAAAGTTTGCGGTATAATATTAATATGTACAGACCATCAACCCATATGTATGTCTTTATTTACATGCACAGACATTGCACAAACACACACCCCTGCATTCACTGGACAAAATACAACCCGTTTTCACACACAATCTGAAATTTGTAGACAAATATTTAGCTTCTACAGTGTGAAACGAGAGAAATGTATGAGAGATTTACTAAACAGTAAATGGTGCTTCACAAAGGTATACTAAGCTCAACTCACAGCTTAGTGAATAGACCCCTAACTTCTACAATTCTGTGTATCTTACAGAGACACTATTAATTCCTATCACAGACCCATGCTCATCTAAGCTAGTTGCAATATCCAAAAAATTGAAGGGGAAAAAACCCCAAAACATTTAAATGAGCAAATAATAGGTGACCCTCTTTTGGAATACAACTACCTGTAACCTTTGTCTGTACAAGACAATCTCAATTAGGCAACAAAACCCAATCTAATTTCTCCATTTATTCACCACCTGTGTGTCTGTTTGGGTCTGTGGCAGGAAAGTGTTCCCTTGATTATTTGTGCGGATTGGCTATCCTACGGCTTCTACAGAAACTCTCACTGCCACCGTATGATTCTTCTGAGCAGCAGCAGCTAGGCCTGTTTGGGAAGTGGAAATCTTGCAGAGAGGTTACTGACGTAACATCAGCATTCTCCCCTTAAGGCAGCTTGCATGAGAAGGAGCTTCTCAGGGACTCTTGAGGAGTCCTTAAGCTCCTTGTGCGGTCATGTAGTGCAGGCTCTGCCAATGGACAGTGCATGTGCTAATCATGAAGCAGCAGCTCTGACTGCGCAATGGCTGAAGAGATTGTTAAAGGACAACACTTAACACAGGCCACGTCATCTCAGTGAAGTGAGCTGTGTGCAGTGTGTTCTGTTAATTTAACCCTTCAAGTTAAAACCGTTTACTTGGAAGGGTTAAACAAACCTCCAATGACTGTTACACTGACAGCCACTGGAGGAGCTCATGCAGCACTGACTGAGTAAAAGACAGTCACCCAATGCAGAAGTCCTATACAAAATAATTTATTTAATGCTTTCCATGTGAAAAGTGTAAATGCGTGAAGCACTCGCCACGCATGTGCATTAGGTCCCCAATGTTCCTGTATGAGAAGCATTAGTTGGACCATGCCATCGCCAGAAGATGAGAGATTAGCAGTATTGAGGGAGCACCAGTTGAACTTGAAGAAAAATAAAATAAATCTACTGGTCTGTCACAACTGACCTATACACAATAGCAACGATGGGGTTTTATGAAAACCCAAAATTATTAAAAACAAGGGCAGAGATTTGTGATAAAATCACTGTGTGTAAAAAGTTAATATTCCCTAAATACCATTGTCATGCAATATAAGCATTTCAAATTTCAGCCATATTGATATTGCAGCCAGATTGGATACAAATGGTCAGGTTCAGAATGTAGTAAACATTAGCACTGCAGTCAGCGGATAGGAGAAAGAAGCTTAGGCCTCACAGAGAACTGCAAAGTCATTCTAGAACTACACACACACACACACACACACACACACACTCTCTCTCTATAGGCCAAAAGCAAATTGTCATCTGAGAGTGAAGATCTACAGACCATACAGATAGAAGGGGAAAGGAGTAGAGGGGAAAAAAAAAAATAGCAAATAAAAAAAAAAAAAAAATTCACAGGACTTTGACCAACACCAGATGCTGTGCAGAATTCCTAATAGGGTTACATAAATCTGTTACAAATTTTTCATAGTTGCGAAGACACACATAAAACTAAACGTCTAAAAGCGATATACCCACTGTTCTAGCACGTTTTAGCAGAGCCCTCGACCCGCTCTGTTCCTGTGCGTCCACCTCGTCTTGTTGCAATGCTGGTCTGTTAGTCCACCTATTGCATAGCGCTGCGGAATTTGTTGGCGCATTAGAATTGATAAAAGATAATGCCACATACAGAATGGCGTACATATTTTAACATATGAAGAAAGAAAAAAAACAAACAAACAAAAAAAAAAACACTTTGTATTCCCAATGTTACTGTACTCTGGAGAGTTGTGTAGAGCTTGACATGTTATTAGACTGATCTGTGTTTATTCCACTGTACACCACTGCATTGCAGAATATGTGCTTTATAAAATTATTTACTACAACGTATGCCTTCTGGATTGATATGTGGGTGAGCGTTTGGAACAGGCTACATTTTGGCATAGGAAATCACATGTATGCCTTTACACCAGTTATATGCATCATTAAAGTTGCTATAAAATTGCTAATACTTATAATGTATTCAGAATAAACATATATGTAGTAAGCGTCAGCCAAGTGTTCTCCACCAGTAAATTAACCTACGTGCAAAGTATATGCACAGAATTAACATTAGTCAGCTGTAACTGTCATTCCACAAAAGTCCAGATAAGAATAAACATGCTAAAATAAAATTAAAAAAACCTTAGCATTTCCTGGAAGTGAAGGCAGATCCCCAGCATTCCAGATTTGTACAAACAGCCTGGGCACACAGGTTAGTATCCAAAAGTAGACCTTACTTAGGAACAAGGTACAGATATGTCTCGGGACACAGACTGAACCTTTATCAAGCCTAACTCTTATTCCAGGCTGACTACTGAAGGCTGGCGGAGATGGAATAACACCTCCAGCAGCAGAACGCCAGGCCCAAGAAATTGTGGTGCCTGGGTCAAAGGATCAAATGCTGCGCTCTCCCTCCCCCAGCCTGGCACACATTTAGGAAAGAGATGCAGTGTGTATGTTGCATTGTATCCATGTGTATAGTGGATACAGTCTGTGTGGATGTAGTATAGTGTGCGCAGTGTAGTGTGTGAAGTGTAATGGATGCAGTGTCTGTGTGTAGTACACAGTGTGTCTGTGTAGTGCATGTAGTATATGCAGTGTGTGTCTGCGTGTAGTGCATTTTAGGGATCGACCGATTATCGCTCTCGCCGATATGATCAGCCGATATTCGGTATTTTCAGCAATGTCGGTATAAGCCTATAGAGATACCGATATTGCCAATAATACATACCAGGACTGCCGGGCCCATTACAAGCCCGGCAGTCCTGGGGCGGCCCGCAGCAAGCTCTTACCTTCCCAGCAGCTCCTTTCAGCTCCCCTGAGTAAATCTTGCGAATCCCGCAGCAGTCAGAGCGTTGCCACAGGTTACCATGGCAACACTCAGCGCGGCACACAGGCTGCAAGAGTTAGAAAGGGAGCTGCTGGGAAGGCAAGTAAGAACTTGCTGCTGTGGGCCCCACTGCACAGTCCATGCCACAGGACCACCAGGGAAAACCATATTTCCCCCACCCCCCGCCCAAATAAAAGTCAGGGAGGGGGAGGGACTTATATATATATATATATATATATATATATATATATATAAAAAAAAGTTAAATAAAAATATCTCTCCCCCCAAATTACATACCTACAGTAACACACACTACATTCATGCTACACAAAAAAACCACTCACTGCATTCACTATACACACTACAAAAACACTCTACATATACATATATATACATATACATACATACATACATACATACATACATACATACATACATATATATATATATATACACACATACACACACACACACACACACACACAGCTCCCCTGTCTAAACACACTGCATCCACTACATGTGGCATGTATATTTAGTGCATTTACCTTGAGAAATAGTTTATTTTTTCAAAACGGTAAATGTACAGAATGTCAGTAAGTTATGGGCTATCGAGCTGAAAGTTCAGATTATCGGCTCTAAAAAAAAAAAAAATATTGGTCGATCCCTAATCTGTATGAGAAGCCTGAGATTGGACCACGCACGCCCCAGTGAGGTCAGGAGAGACGCGGAAGAGCAATCAAGTAAATCCTGTTTTTTCACAGCGCATTGAGAGGGGAGTGGGGGCGGGGTAACTACTCCACAATAACCAATAAGGCATATTACACTTGATTGGTCCCCCCTCTCAAAAGGGTTACTATAGTCACCAAAATAACTTAAGCTTAATGAAGCAGTTTGGGTGTATAGATCATGCATCTGCTTATTCTTCAATCCTGGCTGTGACTGACACAGCCTGCATGAAAACAAAATGGTGTCATTTTTAAGTCAGGTGTAACTTACTTTAACAGTTTTTATCTCCTGCTCTGTAAATTGAACTTGAATTATATACATACAGGCGACTTCTGCAGGGTCTAGCAAGCTATTAACAGAGCAGGAGATAAGAAATTCTCATTTAAACAGAATTTGCAATTAAGGAAGTGTAAACATTAGAGGATTGTTTACAGGAAGTGTTTAGGAAGACTGTGTAAGTCACATGGAGGGAGGTGTGACTAGGGATGCATAAACAAAGTGATTTAACTCCTACATGACAGATAATTGAGCAGTATCTATACACCAAAACTGCTTCATTAAGCCAACGTTGTTTTGGTGACTATAGTGTCCCTTTAAGTTACCATTCATATATACACACATGCACATTTTCTGTAAAACAACATATTTACAAACTATGTGCAAATTGCCATTGTGCTCATGGAACAGATTTTTTATTTCTCATCTAAATTTTATGCTACATCTCATATTAGAGGTCAGTAAAATGTGTAGGATGTGTTTTTTTTTCTTTTTCTTTTCTTTTTTGTACAGAAATACAGCCACAAAGCATCTGTAAATCTTTGCAATAAAAAAGTGTATACATGTGGTGCATTCACCAAACAAGAAATCGTGTAAAATTGACAGAAGGAAGTGTGTGTGTAAATTTTAGGAAAATAGACAGTAGAATCACCAACCCATCTATTTTAAATTGAAGATATTTTGGCCTACAATTTGGAAATCATCCACAATTCCCAGTTTTCCTATGTCAATTCTCAACTCCCAGTTTAGTCAAGTTATGGATACTTCATACAAGGGCCATTTATTCAAAAATGTGCAAAGGATACCATACACATTTTATTGGCTATATGAGCATTTGAAGAAAAAAAAAAAAAAGGTACAGTTAGCATTTTAATCATCTTTGAAGACAACACTGTCCGTTTTGCCTTTCCTTATATCCACTGTAGTTTTATGATTATAACCAAAAATACCCAATACTTGAGTAGGAGTATTTCCTTCAGATTCCAGGCTCCAATCCTTCCCTGTGACATCATCTTCAACTAAAAGATGTCAGATCTTAACCAATCCTTAGCATTTTCATAAGTCTCTGTGCAGCTATAGGCTATTGTTCACTTGTGTGAATAACTAATAGGTTGTTGTTGTTTGTTTGCCACAATGAATGGGACCTACTGAGGGGGCAGGGAGTAAATGAACTAGAGGTGCCTTTAAAAATGGCAACTGGAAGAAAAATAAATTTAAAAAAAGCAAAACAGGAATGTAAGTAGAGTTTTAGGCTTTTATTTGAAGAAGCACAGTGATATAGGTATTGAGACTTCATGATTGTACATTTTACTGCAGCAATAATTTCTGCATTTTTTAGAGGAATTAAAGAGAGATGCATTCTCAAGATGAGAAAAAAAAAAATGCTATTCAAAATCACCACATTTATGATATGATGATATTCAAATGAGGCTAACACCTCATGATATTTGTGTCAGTTAATAATGCATACTTTATGAAGCAACAGAAGTAAAATTTAAAAAAAAAAAGTTACTTAACTTTCACACACACATTCAAGCTTCTCTCTATGTTTGCTTTCATAAAATTCCAATTTATGTGTGAGAGAAAAAAATAAATAAATAAAAAAAAAACACACACAAACACACCAGGTTTCCCCAACTTAATTATATTTCCCCCATCCCCAACTACAATATGACGCAAAGTTCACATTTATAGAAAGCACAGTATGAACAGAATCATAGCCAAATTATACACACACTGCAAAATGCTCATTTTAGAGAGGGGGTGTCTATTGTTCCCTACTGCCTGTTACTGCATGTTTTTATATTATTTTGGAAAGTAAAGGCTTACTTGACCTAGAAGCTGAAACAACTATAAACAAAATATGAATATTTTGTGGGGGGGAGGGGAGTAAACATGACTGACCAAGTGTGACAGACTAATATTTAAATACAATCTAATATACATATAATATTTTAAAAACAACTCCACAAAATGTTAATCCTCATTTGGTTAAAGTTGTTTGAAAGGACAATAATGAAATGCATCTGAATCAAATGTCTGTCTTTCTAGCAACCTCATGTCCTTGAAATGGTGTGACATTCTCTTTCTAAACGCAGCTAATATGTGGTATATTGAACAAAATACCACAAAATCAGAAGTGCTGAATTTATGAAAATTATGCCTCTGTCAGTACAAAGAAGCTAGGGTTGTATACACAAGGTTCTATTTAGGGCATATTTGCTGGGGGTTCCTTACGAATACAGATTATCATCACTTATTAAAAAAGGGGGAAAAATAAATCACAATTTATAATTGAATTGTATGTCACCCCACACTAATAACCTTGACAGTGTTCCCATGAATTAAGTTCTTTATGGAACAGACCTTCTAGAACATGTCACATAAGGCCTCGTGCCTTAACCCCTGTAGCTCAAAAGCCACAGTGAAGAAAAGGGGAAAAAAAATCAAAAAAAAAAAATCAATGGGAGCACGCCATCTTGCAGAAGAACATGGAGAATGGAGGATGGGGGGGCGGGATTCACGAAAGCCGGTTACGTCACGTGCGTAAATCTCAACCTGACAGTGACTGGGCGCTATGTAAAGAATAAAATAATAAAAAGAGCCGTCATATGATATGGAGAAATAATATACCCTCCATCCATAACTAGAAATACCGCTCTAGGGAGCTGCAGGCTCTGGGATAACGGATTATGACAGAAGATGATGATCACACATTATAACATTCCATGAATAGAACCCCCACATTTTCCTCCTCTGACCGCAGCAATGGCTGACCCATGGCACCCCAGCTGCCCTGGACTACACTTACCATGATATCAGCTGGTGATGGCTGGCTGGACATCATGGGAGCTGCAGTCCAGAGAGTGCTGGGTCTATATTGCTTTATTGGCCTCCTTGTAGGCAGTACAGTGGGTGTAATAAGGTGACTGAAGGGGCCATAAGGTGGTGATGGTGACTGAGGGGGCAATAAGTAGATATTAAAGTAGGGAGGGTTAGTTAGGGGGTAATAAGGTGGTGATCTTGAGTGAGTGGCATAATTAGTGGGTATTAAGGTAGTGATGGTGAGTAGAGGCATAATAAGTGGGTATTAAGGTAGTGATGGTGAGTGGGGGCATAATAAGTGGGTATTAAGGTGGTGATCTTGAGCGAGGGGATAATTAGTGGGTATTAAGGTAGTGATGGTGAGTAGAGGCATAATAAGTGGGTATTAAGGTAGTGATGGTGAGTGGGGGCATAAGTGGGTATTACGGTAGTGGTGGTGAGTGGGGGCATAATAAGTGGGTATTAAGGTAGTGATGGTGATCATAATAAGTGGCATTAAGGTAGTGATGGTGAGTGGGGCACAATAAGTGGGTATTAAGGTAGTGGTGGTGGGGGGGCATAATAAGTGGGTATTAAGGTAGTGATGGTGAGTGGGGCATAATAAGTGGGTATTAAGGTAGTGATGCAGTGAGTGGGGGCATAGTAAGTGGGTATTAAGGTAGTGATGGTGAGTGGGGGCATAATAAGTGGGTATAGTGATGGTGAGTGGTAAGGGGTTAGTAAGTGGGTATTAAGGTAGTGATGGTGAGTGGGGGCATAATAAGTGGGTATTAAGGTAGTGATGGTGAGTGGGGGCATAATAAGTGGGTATTAAGGTAGTGATGGTGAGTGGGGGCATAGTAAGTGGGTATTAAGGTAGTGATGGTGAGTGGGGGTATAATAAGTGGGTATTACGGTAGTGGTGTTGAGTGGGGGGTTGCTGCCCGTTATTTGCCCCCTAGGCAGGTGCACAGGACATGGCATAGAGGAGAAGACCCCCAGCTCCTCTCTTACCGTCAGGGTCTGGAAGAAGCCCCCGGGGGTCGTCGCCCAGACGTATTTGGCGTCCACGTAACCGACAATGGCGGCCTCTTGGCAGCTGCCATCGGCCATCAGCATATCCACGTAATCCTGCCAGCCGGACATCTTCAGTGAGGGGAGGGGGGGGCGACCGAGAGCTAACGGTACCACGACAACAACAACACGGAGCGGAGCTGCGGGAGCCCGGGGTGGGGATGTGGGTGAGGCGGCGCTCGGGTGATGGCGGCTCCGTCACGGCCGGAGATAATCTGAGCTCCGACAGCCGGGAGAAGCCGAGGAAATAGGGCAGCGCCCGGGCGTACTCCCCCTCCCCCTGCAATGCCGCCGCAGATCCCTCCGCCAGCAGCGGAAGGACACTGGCACACCTCCACGTGCAGGCAGTCAGGCAGGCAGGCGGCGCATTCACGGTCCAGCCACTAGCAGTGAGAGAGGGACTGCAGAGCTGCACCCCCTCCATAGCAACAGCCCCTTCCTCCATAGCAACAACCCCCTGGATGTGAACCTCAATGTACCCTGACTGGCAGCATCCTGCCCAGGCTGCAGAGAGCTGATAATGCCCATTACACAGTATATGGGGGACTGCAGCTCTGCACCTAGATAACCACCTGTACAAACAAATACTTCAATAAATACTAAATAATAACTTATTATTTCACAGTTACTAACCAGGTTACACTGAGTGCTGTGCTAGGGATAGAATACCCCATGGCTGCAACCATATAACTAAAACTGCAATATATGTACAGAAACAGAAATAAAATAAAAAGTACATATACCTACACACCAGTTAATAAACTCAAAACCTAGGTCAGTATATACATATATCATTATAGAGCATCGCCAGATACAAAGATATACCTGAACAACTTCTAAACCAGATAATATACATACAGTAACAATTCCCAGATCTAAATATAATTAATTCACATACAGTCTGTTTTCATATGTTATATTATACTAATCATTTGTATTACTCAGTAAGTTCATGCAAAATTATATTCTTATACATTTCAGCCATTTCTAAGTGGCTACCAAGTATTATATGGTATGGTATGTATGGTATCATACAGCAAAATGTGTAGATGGATAGATTAGATTAGATGATAGATAGATAGATAGATAGATAGATAGATAGATAGATAGATAGATAGATAGATAATCAGACCACAACATATACTGTATTTGGAGTTCTTATCCTAGTACATCTGCTACATGGAGAAAAAAAAGTATCGAAATATACCTAGGTATAATCATAATGTACAAAGTATCATTTTTGTGTGCAGATAATTAACTACAGACAGCATAATTGTATTGGATACATAAATAGCAACTCGTTGACTTGATGCTTTTTAATATATCTTCAGGAGAAGTCATACTAAAGGGGGAGTTCATATGACTAAAGTGCAAATTGTCTTGATACCCAAATCTCGTTGTCCCAGCCCCAATAGTACATAATGCTGATGAACATATGGAGGAGGAACTGGGAGTGTTTTCTAGTCCTGGGACACTGCAGGGCTCCTTTGTTTCAGAGGCATTTTTTTTTTTTTTTAAAGCTTTTTTTTTTTGGGTGGTTGTGGTGGGGAGGAGGATGATTTATAGCTATTCTCCACAAGGTTTGAGGAGGGAAAAGGAGGAGCAGACAGAGGGAAGGCAGCACACATGCAACCAAGAAAGGATGATATGGGAGGAAAACTAGAGGCTGCAGAAATAAAGGGAAGGAGGAAGCTTACTGCTGCATAGAAGCGGAGTGGGCGGGCTAAAGGAGAGGTGTTAGAATACAGGGGAGAGCTCCGGGCAGGAGACGATGGGGAGGTGTTATCAGCCTCGGTGAGAGGCGCATCTTGTTGTCATGGCAACAGAAGAACTTCCTATTGCTTTAGGGAGAAGACTGGTCCAGGCACTGTCTGCCACATTCCCTGCATCTTCATGGCTGTGTCATCTCTCTGCATCACTCTCTCTTTAACCCTTTAAAGGTTCATCAAAACACATCTTTTACAATTTTATCCTTGTGGTGTTTTTTTTTCCCCCACTGATGTAGTAGAACAAAATATATATACTTGAGACCACAATGTACAAATCCACACTGGTACTTTTACTAAACAGTTCATTGTAGTGAACTGAAAACTGAATTGCAACATTTAGGATAAAATAGAAAAAAGATTTAAAAACAGATACTAAGGCAAGAATTCTAAGCGAATTTCAATTTTAAGACCAAAGTATCTGAAATGGAAGCACGGCTGAACTAGCGAATTTTACCAGTTTGGCTATTTTGACCGTACATTTGAAATCCACTCTGAATTTACTTTGATTTCTCACTTTAATTATTAACCCTGAAAATATCTAACCTGCTATAGTCACAGATTGGCTATTACATTGAATTTCACCATTTGGTTTTCAGTTTACATGTAACTGTTTAGAAAGTAAATCCCACAATTATTATTATTATTTTTATTTTTATTTTTTTGGCAGTAGATTTTGGAGAAATAACAAAGAAGTGCAAATGTAGTTTCAGAATAATTGAGCTGGGCTGTGAATGTGGACTATGTACATGTGTGAATGCAGTATGTGTATAGAGTATCAATGTATTTGTACACACAGGATTGTGAATGCAAATGTATATTTGTGTGTTTAACCAATGTGTTTTTATGCAAACAGATTTGTTTAATTAACTCTGAACAATAATAAAATGAAATTCAGTTTGTAAAGTTTAGGATAGCATAGACAACTCATGACTATAACTGAGCTAGAGAATATTTGTATATCTGTCATTGTTGCTTAATTTTTTACAGTCACATTAAATTTTGATGACATTTGGAGATTAGTGAATATTTCCCCGAGTGTCAGTGTTTGTGAATACAGGTGCTTATTAGTGTGGAATCTGTGTGAACACAGGGGTGCGTTTATAAGGCATGTCAGTGTTTGTGTGAATGTAGGAGTGTATTTTATGGTTCTCACTGAAGTGAGAATTCAAGGTGAATGCAAAGCAGATTTCAAATTTAAAGGAGCACTATAGGGTCAGGAACACAAACATATATTCCTGATCCTATGCGGTTAAAACCACCATCTAGCCCCTCTGTCCCCCTCATGCATCCCTAAATATAGTAAAATCTTACTTGTATTCAAGTCTGCAGCTGCTTACTTTGTCCCTGTTTCCTTTACACCAGTCCGTCTGCATGCAGAGGGTGGAGACACTGAATGTTTTCATGCATTTTAGGCAGCCATCACCCAGGAAGGATCTCTAACAGCCATCTGAGGAGTGGCCAGTGAAGTAATCACTAGGCTGTAATGTAAACACTGCATTTTCTCTGAAAAGACAGTGTTTACAGCAAAAGGCCTGAAGGTAATGATTCTACTCACCAGAACAAATTCAATAAGCTGTAGTTGTTCTGGTGACTATAGTGCCGCTTTAAGGTCAAAATTCCATTTTGCTACTCTGGACTTACATTTCACTGTGACTTCTCACTGTAGTAAATTACCCTGTGTGTGGGTGAACACACTGCTGTGAGCAAACAATATGTTGTGAGTGTGTGAATACAAAGGCCTGTTTAAAATGTGTGTCATTGTTTGTATGAATTCAGGGTGCATTTTCATGGGTAGGACTATCTCTTGCTTCATGCCTTTCTTTTTTCCCTTGACATCCATCTTTCTCTACATCCCACCTCACCACACTTGTGCCTCTCCATCTATCCTACCCTTTACTTGCGTCCCCTCCATTTTAGTGTGTGCCTTAAACTCTTCAGTGAGTTAAAATGCCCCTCTTTGTCCATTTGAAATGTTGGGAGCTATGTGACTGCCATGGATCCTTGGTCCATGACTAAATAGCCAAGTGGGTATGTCATTACAATAATTCCCAAGTGTTCTCAATTTAAACAAACATTGCTGAGTGGCAAATCTTGCTGCTGTTTTTAAACATACCTGATAATATTCTTAAATTAAATAATTAAATTTATGACTTCACATAAATACTTATGTTTGTTTTTTTAAATGGCTATGTGACACCTAAAGAAGTCTCTCTGTTTCATCCTCATATGATAGTAAAATGTAATTATGGAAACCACTGGTAAAGGCTTGATCCTAAAGAGGCAAACCTACTGTGGATTCCATAAAGACACCTAAACGGACACTCCAGGGGTGTCCAGGGGCTTAACCCCTAAATGGTAAAATAAAAAGAAAGCTCAGATCACTGGAAAACCAGTAATTCGAGCATATGCTGGAACGATAAAGATAAAAATAGTAAGTAGTATAATGAATAAAGTTGCAAAGATATATAAATCAAAACTCTTATCCAAACTATCAGGTCATCCAATGAGAAAATAGTGTGAACCAGCCTAATAGGCAAAAACCTCCCTGATGTTAGACCATGACTGCGATGCTCTGCAGACTACTGACTTTAATATATCTTAATTGGTCAAAGTCTGTATATAGTAACAGATAAATATCTATAGAGTCACGGATAAAGATTCCTAATTCCTAGAAATACTTCCTGTAACCGTAAATATTGTGGTACCGACAGTAATATAATGTATCAAACTTTGAATTCGTGTGTATAAAAAACTCCACTTGTTTCAATGTAGCTAATATGTATCTCTGTTCTAAATTAATGTGCTGTAGAAACAGTAGCCAAATAACTCAAGTGAAGAAAATAACAATCCAACTAGTATTATAGTAACCTATGTAGAGACCAATAATATGAGGTTAATATCCAAAGTAAAATAATAATCAATCTCAATCGAATGTTACTAAATAGAGATAAGGAATTAGGACAGAAAAGGAGGTTTAGAAAGCTATTGAAATATTAGTGTGCAGAACCATACTTAGGATGTTGGTTGCCTGCATATAGTGAAAGTGCCCAGTGAAATGGTGAAAAAGAAGTGAAAAATCGGAAAACCCGACGCGCGTTTCGGTGCTTAAAACATGCACCTTCGTCAGGGGCCAAAATTGGAATGACTGTATGGGTACTGACTTATATACCAATTAGTTCCTCCAGCGAAATTCTTGATAGTCCAATCACAAGCGGGTAACACTGCCGTTATGTTCGCGCCAAAATTCTCTATGTTTGAATATGTAAATGAGGCTATTCAAACGCCCCTATCAGATTCATTGTA